GGATGTCATGGATATACAGCCCTGTGGGCTGCTCCAAGCAACAGCTTGTGGGATTAAGTTATAATAATTTGTGATGTCTGCATATAACTTGGGATATGTAGAAGAACTTGGAAGTAGAAGAACTCTCATAACTCCCTCCAAGTAAACTACATTATTACATTCGATTACATTGTAGATCCTACCGAGGTAGTTTGATCAAGAAACAGGATAAAGAGTGCCTGAAATGGGATAGAGAAGGTTTAACGCCTACCTGCAGGATGCACAATGGGAGACTGAATTGGATGTAATGTCAAGTAATGAGAGAAGTGATTTTATAACATGTACAGAAACAATGGAACAGTTCATACCTTTTAGGAAGGAAATGGATGAACAGAGAACATGAAACCCATGGCTCAACAGGCAGCATAAGAAGGAAAAAAAAAAGCAGTATTGATAAAGTATATGGAGACACTTATGAGGGCCTGAAAGGAGTTGACAAGAACTTGGAGGGAAGCAGAGCAGCAATTTGAAAATGACATTGCAACAAAACCAATAGACCAATCTAAGATGTTGAATAAAAAATCATGTGATCAGACTGCAGTGACAGTGTCACTTTAAAAATGACAAAGAAGTAAGTGAATAACTTTGCAATAGGTTCCATTTCTACAAACCAGAACCAAATTGATGTCCAAGGAAAGGTGACAACAGACTGCCAAAAGCAACACCATACCAAATCAGTCATCATCATGAATACTGAAAAAATTGGAGGGATCTTGTTACCCATTAACTCTAGTGTTCAACATTACACTTGAGACAGGAGAACCATCAGAAATTTGCAGAAGGGCAAATGTAGTACCAATATTCAAGAAAAAGGACAAACATAAAACACTACCCTATAGACAACTGTCGCTAACATGGATTTCATGCTTAATACTATACTGGAAACAGCCACCAGGAAGAGAATAGTGGAACACTTGGAGAAAAGGCATTCTGAATCATATCTAGGAATTTTGTTAATATTCTATGACCAACCCATCCTCCGAATTGACAGTACGATTTAATACTAAGTGTAATAAGTACATTCCCTTACTGTCATACACAGTGCATAATTACACTTATGGGGCTGTTACATTTACCTCCCCATCTATTCTCCTCATTTTCTGTTAAGACACTCAGAATTTTAGGACAAAATTTTAAAGTTCAAATTGTCATACACAAGTTTTAAATATCAGTAATTTCTTTTTCAGTTTTATTAAACAATAGAGATTTTATACAAAATTGGAAAATATCCCGAGTTACTTTACAATTTATTGATATATTTTAGTTTTGTTTTATTTGTTTTATAAAACTATAATATCAATATAAATATAGGTTAAGTACTAATTGTAATTAAGAAGCAATAAAATTATCTTCAAAAACTAAGACGTGTAATTGAGTTCGTGGTTTTCTATTCAGTTTTTCAGGTAAACTCAAATATTCACAATATATTTGACAGTACGATTTAATACCAAGTGAAAATAAGTACAATTCCTGACTGCTATGAATAGTACATAATTGCACTTATTTGTGCTCTTACATTTACCTCCCCATTTTTGGAGGACGGGCTGTCTATGACAGACAGCGCTACACTCTCTTGCTCTTGGCACCAACTTTTGATACGGAGTGAGGTTGTACACATCAGTGTTTGCAGATGACACAATGCTAAAGTGGATTGTAAAACTTGAGAAATACATTGCAAAGTCTAGGAGTGGGGCAGACTGTTAAGTGACTGTTAAGAGCTCAGTTCCAACAAGTGCAAGGTAATTAGGATGTGAAAGAGAGAAAGGAGACCAAGAGGAATCTACACCATAAGGAAAAGGAAATTACAGAAATCGGAAAGTCTTTGGAGTGAATATACTGGTACCAGTAATTGCAACATAAACACCAGAGGCACACATTAACCCTTGTGTTGCTCAGGGCTAATTAGCATTTGTCACCCACAGGTGCATACCAAAAAAATTATTTTTTCTTCTGAACCTGTTAATTTGTGTTCTCTGATCATGGGAAAAAATAATAAAAAAAATCGTAAGCGGCATATATTGCCCGCTATAGGGCGGGGAAGTCTGGCAAAAAAACAGGCGCTGACTCAGCGTGCATCCCAGACGGTCTGTTGCTCCCAGCCATCAGGCAGGAGTGGCCACAAAGAGATAATTACCTAATTATTTCAATGTCTCTGATTGATTTTTCGTAGTTCTTTTGCTGTAATATTATTCAATAGTGTGTAGTGTGATATATTTATATAATAAAATGAATGAATCATCTCTGTATTCAAAAATATGGTGTGCATATTGTTGATTCAGTTATGTTCATCAAACAGTGAACAAATACTTTGTTGGTTATTACACTATATACACAGGTTATATATAAGTATCTGCATGTTTTGCGCATGTTATAGCAAGTCACTCAACCCATCATATGATGTGTTGTGCAACTTAAGGGTTAACAGGGTAATATTAGAAACATACTGGAAGCAACAATGCGCACACCTTAAAGCACAAAGCCAAAAGTAAACACGTAGAGAGGTTTGCAGTAAGTTTAGTGCCAGAGCTAAGGTGGTTAAGCTATGAGGATAGGTTAAAGTAACTATCTTGCAAACCTAGAGAAGAAACAATTAGATATGACCACAGACTAAATATACTAAGGGACATAGACAAGATGGATAAAGACAGTTTTAAATATGAGAAAATGTAGGTCAGAAGTACATAGATGAAACTGGAAAAACAGATTAATAAAAATGTAAGGAAGACTATACTCATGCGCTGTGCTGGTGGTCAACAAGCTAAATGCTCTGAAAATTTAAGTCGTGGAAGCTGCATCCATCATCACTTTTATTATCACATTTAACAAAGAATTCTAACATCGGAAAATTTAAATTAAACATGCAACAGATCCAAGCAGGCAAAGTAGGCAGGGCACAGAGAGAGAAACCCAACTTTCCAATAATCTATGCTTGGTAATTAAAACTGTTCTTCCATGCGTTCTTATTTCATTATTTCTACTTTCCTCTTTCTTCCCCACCACTTTGGTTTTCCTTGAAGTGTTGCTGCTGCATGAGTTAATTCATGCATGTGTGTGTGTGTTCATTTAAACATTTAGAGCTTATGGAAGAGGCAACATTTAAATTAAAAAAAGAACAGGAACTATGGACATTACACCAAATGTCTCATCTGAAGGACAAGTTAGCAGTAACATGGGAGGCAGGATATATACAAAACTGGCAAATGTAAGAAAAACCTACAGTAATCGGTAGAAGGAAACAGTGGGAGCATTATACACCCAGCAACATGATGCCAATACAATACTGTTGTTTGCAGTATCAGCAGGAAATCTATATACAGTACTGTAACTTGTTAAGAAGAAAAAGATAAGAAGTATTTGCCACAGTTTTTACCAGAAGTAAGGCTGACTAGGAATATGCCAAGGGTATTGAACCTTACAGTCCAAAAAAAGTGGATGTATGACAAGAGTTCATGAATGAGGGTGCAAGAGCTTCAGCTCATTCCCTGGAAACTAAGCTACAAATAATTAAATGTACACATGACCACATACAAAGTATAAATTTGTATGTAACATTAATTAGTACTGAATAATTTAATTATTAAAATGAGTGCTAGGTTCTAGGTCTAAATTTAATCCTGCCAACCATCCATAACACACATATAGTCAGCCACTATTATTATTATTGTTATTATTACTAATTATTATTATTATTATTTATTATTATTTGAATGGGTATACTTTTTAAAATAATAAGTACTTGGGTGTTTTAATAACTGTTATTGGTGTATAAATATTGGTGTAGATAGTCAGCTTGCTGCATATTTTGTTAATGAATGGATCTTCTTGAAAGTGGAATCATTTAGATAAGCTAAGTACATTAAATATTTAAGGCTTCTACCTCTGTGTGTCAAGTTCAATATGTCTTTTGTTGGACTTGTAAGATTTTGAACTATTATGATCTGTTGGCATTGAGTAAAAGAAAACCATGATTAAGGTAAAGACTATGAATGTGTTTTATTAATTTAAATTGAAAAGTCTACTAGTGTATAGCATGGTAATTTCAAAGATTAAATTAAATTGTTTAATTTATTGTAATAATGTGTATTCATTAGTGTCTCAAGAGTTAACACCAGATCATACTTCAAGATCTTTACAGTAGTTATATCTGCATCTGTTGTCTGGAATGTGATAAAATTTCCTTGTATGAAGAGGCAAAGTATGAGAGGGAGTCAAATGAACACGAGACATTGTGAGGAGAGAGCAACTGAGGTTGCCTTGCCTTGTTTTTGACTTCCCCTTGTATATATCCCTCTTGTTTAACACTGGTTTATGTCTATTAAAATTATACTATCCGAAAAAATAATTGCTTTTTAGTTGTTAGGATTTATATCTAAGGATATTTAAAAAAGAATAATAGAATAAAATTGCTTATCTATGACTAAATTTTTAAGTTTGTGATTTTATATCTACAGCATTTTTATACTCTTCTGTGTATGTAAAAATAAATAAAAAAAAAGTATATATATGTATGTATGATTATTTATATTTTATATTGGGACCCAAGCCGAAGCCCAACCTGGAGGTTGGTCCTCCAGAACCTCTCAATGAATTCAGTAGAGTTCCGGGTTGGTAGATTTTGTACCATTGTAGCAACGTTGGTTAAGTCAGGTATCTGGGAATCCACAGAACGTTTGTTTAATTCGCTCCATTGCCTAAAAATGATTTTCATATTTATTTAATTGTATTTATTTATTTATTTATTTTTATTTACTTATTTATTTATTTATACATACACAGTATAAAATGTGATTTATATGTAAGAAGCAAAACTTAAAATTCATCAATATACAAGCAAGTACTTTATCTATTGTCCAACTGTAATATATAATATACAGTACACTACTGTATTTTGAAGTTCTATCCTAATTTAATATTAATGTTTTCATTAATGTATTCACCAATAAAGTTAACCTATCCTCCAGAGTAACTTTGTGCGCCACAATACTCCACATCCACGTGACTTGAAGGCTCGTGCAGAAAAACTCTTGGGTAAAAGCTTCAAAACAGCTGATGGTCCACTTGTTACTGCTGGGGAACTTTCAGTAAGTTTTATCTTTTCATTAACTGAAAATTCATATTATTTGAGTGTAAGAAATTTACTATAAGGTTTATTTATGACCTTTTAAAAAAAGTGTATTGTATGTGTGTTACTTTTTCAAAAGTCTATTCCATGTATTAATCATGAAATACCTTATTCACAAGTAATGAATTCATTTCATAATATTTTTAATGTGTAAATTTCACCTTCAAACCTAGAATTTTGTGTAATTACTGTACAATGTATGCATGGTCTATACATGATAATGCTGAAAATAACGGCTCACACTTACATGTGTAGTGTTGCCTTTCCTTGCATTTTGGAGGTTTATTAGGTTCTTTGAAATATTACAAAGATGAATACTAACCAGTTCTTTATCTTCTCAGAAGATAGGTTCAATCATTTATGGTTTGTATTGGCAAAGTCATCATCAATATAGTATTCTTATTATTGGTTCATCCTTAAATGACCTGATTTCTTAACTAGTCTCACATCTGCTGTAATTTTAAATTATACCACAAATTCTTTAAAATAATTAAATAAATGGTATTTCACCAGGACAAAGGAGAAGTCTTCCGTCCTCATCGAGCCCCTCCATCACCACCTATACAAGGACACACAAAACAAGTTGTGAAAGAAGTTTCTGCAGAAGTGGAACTGCGACCAAAGCATCATCAGGTTAGTTGAAACTATCTTTACAGGTTCTGTACTTATTGAAAAAAATATTAAATCTATAGTATAAAGATAGCATGCATTCAGGCAGCTTTCAGTTTGTGGTATTGGAAAAAATGCATTTTGTATGTGGGTAATCAATTTCATACCAAGAGTTGAAGTGCATCGGTGAATCTCAATGTTACGCAGAATTAAGTTCAGCTTATCTGATTATTCAGGTGTAATGCATTCTTGGCAGTGTCATCTTCCCATTCATACATCATTTCTTTTGTTTTTGCTAACAGTTTGGATAATATTTAAGCACTGCACATTCCAATCAATTTGGACTTAATATTATGAAACAGAATTTTTGTATTCTATATAGTATACTGTACTGTGCCATTTAGTTGAATTGCATCAGTTTTGCTTTATTCAAGTTGTGTTAGAATGTGATTTTCGTTCAACTCGAGGCTGCTTGTACAGTGAATAAACTTAATCTTGATATATTCAAGAGTGATAGATGGTCAACTGCATATCAATGAAGCATTTGCAGATATGACATTAACCTTTCGGCTGCACGTCTCATCAGGTGATGGAGTGTCTAGTTATGCTCAGACTGTTCATCCCATCAGGGAATATTAGAAATATTAGAGTACTTTGTTAAATTTTAAAACTCCCGTGGGTACAATGGGCTCGCGTTGGCTTTCTTAGGCCTTCAGTAAACATATGCCATTTTGAAAAAAGAAATTGTGGACAACGTTCTGGGTGTGAAATCCTCAGTACTGAGTGAGCAACCGAGGCTGGTGCATGTAGCATGAGCTAACAGCACTCTTGTTCAGCTTGTGTTAACAGCATCACTTAAGTGATAAAATATATAACTAATATTATTTTGTAATGATAGTATCATAGAAGATCCATCCTGACTATAATAAAGACTATGTACAATGTTCAGATATCAGTGAACACAATGGTATTTATAATGTTCCCAGCTGACACAGATTAGGCACTGCAGTCTGCCATTGTTTGGTGCATCTATGGATCTTGAAACCTCTTGTTACCTTAGAAAATAAACTTGTAGAAAAATGATTCAGAATTTAGTGACACACTCAAACACACACACACACACACTATTGTGTGCGAGTACACACTCTCAGGGAGCTGGTGGTTGAGTGGACAGCACGCTGGATACGTAGTCCTGTAGTTCAGGGGTTCGATTCATGATGCCGGCAGAAACAGTTGGGCAGAGTTTCTTTCACCCTGATGCTACTGTTACCTAGCAGTAAATAGGTACCTGGGAGTTAGACAGCTGTTACAGGCTGCTTCCTGGGTGTGTGTGTGTGTGGGACAAAATAAAAAAAAAAATAAAAAAAATTAGTAGTAACAGTTGGTCCAGGACGGACCAAAACGTCGTCATCCGTTCACTTTCTAGTGTGTGGTTTGGTCAACATACTGTATTTCAGCCACGTTATTGTGATTCCTCGTCTGCAGTTGATTAACAGTTGAGAGGCGGGCTGAAAGAGCAGAGCCCAACCCCACAGAGGTGAATACAACTAGGCACAAAAGCACAACTAGGTGAATGCACACACACACACATAAATTATATACAAAATTAATATATATAAAAAATATAAAGACTTTGAGGATTGACATCAGATTTTCTCTCCATGTACTTTAAATGACCTCATAGCTATTCTTTAACCCTGGAAGACTTGCACGAGTTCTTCTGTCTTCCTCCTCCTCCTCCTGCTACCCTTCAAATTTGTCTGCCAATTCTCTGCTACCAAATCAATGATATCGTTGTGAGTCATGCTTGGTGCTTTGGTGAAATTGCTCATCACACTCGGTCCATGCATCCACTTTTTCCTCAAGATTGACTGTGAATGATTCATTTCTCCATTGTCAGGATTGTCCATTTATTCCCTTAACATAAGCAAAAAGCTCTTGGCTTAATTTCTTCTACTCACTTATTTTCTTTGCACCTCATCCTTCAAAATCTGCAACATTGTTGGTATCTTCAGGAAACAAACCACCTGCAGGCCAAAAAAATTTTCAGGTATGCATCAAGGTTGATTTCTTGACCATTTCTCGTGTATGTGCATTACACGATACAGCTGGCTTTATAGTAAATGATTTTCCTTGATAACACACTTCTTTGCATGGGTATATCTAGCAAATTGACTTTTCAAGTGAAGTTTGATGTTTGAAATTACTCCTTGATCCATGGATTGGATTGGATCAATGAGGTTATGTTAGGTGAAATTTTTTTACCAAACATCTTGCCCTTTACTTGCACATCTTCATAGGAATGTGTTGGCCTACTATCACCACTTTACTGTTCTCTGGCAAGCTAGTACTCTTAAAATGGTTTTTCACTTTGAGTACAAAATTACTGGAAAACCATTCACGAAAAATGGATCTAGACATCCATGCACTAGGCTGAAACTTAAATCACAGGGATAGTATTCTTCACTCCCTTAAATACCTTTGAATTTAGACTTTTCCCAGTTGCAAGTAATGTTAATGTGTGAGCACCAGCTGTAGCTGCACAGCAAAGGACAGAGATCCCCTCTTCATTTGCCTTGACCCCAGCTGCACTATCACGGTCACCCTAGTGATTGTATGTATAGCCTTCTACCATACACTAGTACAAGGTTGTTTCATCAGCATTATACATTTGCTCAGGAGATAAAGGATCATTCTGCACGATCTCGTCAAATTTAGCCACGCATTCCTCTGCTCCTTTTGCATCAGCAGATTACTGTTTACTTTGTAATTTCACATGCCTAATACCATAACGTTAAACATTAGAGACATTAGAAAGAACTCTTTCAATGTCAGAGTAGTTAACAAATGGAATGCACTTGGCAGTGATGTGGTGGAGGCAGACCTCATACACAGTTTCAAATGTAGATATGATAGAGCCCAGTAGGCTCAGGAATCTGTACATCAGTTGATTTGACAGTTGAGAGGTGGGACCAAAGAGCCGAAGCTTAACACCTGCAAACACAATTAGGTGAGTACACAATTATCACAAATTTTCATTTGCTGATGAAAATGCTTCACTTTTTTCTTAATCAGCCATCCTGGCACTGGTTTCTTTGATTCATTATGTGTCTGCCTATACCACTCACAAACATCCCATCAACACATTTAACTCTAGCATTACTAAGTACTTTTCTTTAACACATTGCTAACTTTGTAAACCTAGCACGCATGATACTTCTAGGAATGCCAAATTCAAGTTCCTTTATGAGCTGAACTCTTTGTTCAAAGTTCACATGTTCTCTTGGCTTCACCGCTTTTTTGAAGTCCTGAACAATAGCTTTCCTGCCTTTCCTGACACCATAGTGGCAGGATGTAATATATGTATAAAACGGTGAAAGAGGAAAGAATTCTTCATGGCTAAAAGCAAACAAAAACAAAGCTGGGTTGTCTTAGTAGGACAAAACTTTAATAGGACAAAAGTAGGACACAGACTTTGCGAAAGCTTTCGACAAATGTGACCATGATGTTATTGCGCACAAAATGTGTGCAAAATAAATTACTGGCAAAGTAGGAAGATGGATCTTCAACTTCCTAACAAACAGAACGCAGAGTGTAATAGTCAACACAGTAAAATCCAGATCATCTCCTGTGAAAAGCTCAATCCCCCAAGGTACCGTACTTGCTCTAGTACTTTCTCTCATCTTAATATCGGACATAGACAAGGATACAAACTACAGCACTGTGTCCTTATTTGCAGATGACACAGGATTTTCATGTGAGTAGATAATATTGAGGACACGGCAAACCTTCATTTGGATGTAAATCGGGTCTTTCAATGGGCCACAGATAATAATATGATGTTTTATGAAAATAAGTTCCAGCTCCTCTGCTCTGGAAAAAAATAAATTTAAAGACGGAAACCATATATAAAATGGAATCAAATTATACTATAGAACAAGGATAACGAGGACCTTCCAAACAAGGGATACTATACCAATGATGATACAGTACTTTTTAAGACGTTAGTGATCTCTAGGGTGGAATATTTTTGCACTCTAACAGTCCCATTCAGAGCCGGAGAAATTGCTGACTTAAAGAGCGTGTAAAGATCCTTTACCGCTAGAATCCACTCCATAAGTCATCTTAATTATTGGAACCAATTAAAAGTTTTGAATCTGTATTCTCAGAGTGCAGGCGAGAGAGCGATACATAATATTCTACACATGGAAGATTAGAGGGACTGGCTCTAAATCTGAACACACAAATAACATCACTTGAAACCAGTAAGCATGGCAGGATGTGCAAAATACCCCCCGTTGAAAAGCAGAGGTGCAATAGGTACACGGAAGGAGAACTCTATCAATGTCAAGGGCTCAAGACTTTTCAATATTCTTCTGCTACATGTAAGGAGCATAACTGGCCGACTTCTCAGTGTTCAAGAGAGAACTTGACAAACAATTCCAAAGAATACCTGATCAACCAGGCCGTGATTCTTACGACAGGCTGCTAACATCCTCATCCAATGCCTGGTTGACTAGACGATCAACCGGGAGGCCTGTGGGCTGCAGGGCTGTTGATCGCCGGAAGCTACACAAGGTAACCACAAGGTAGGTGCAGAGGTCACACTACTGCAACTTGGTGACTGGCTGCCAAACTACATAGGACTTTCCTAAGTGGAGGATGGTGGGGAAAACTGGTTTGGTGCCTGGTTGGACTCTCAAAGACATGAGGTAGTTGGAGTATTCGAACATTTGGAAGTTGAAATAGGGCTCGGGCAGTATATTTGATTAATGTGAGGAGCTGTTGGTTTTTAATAATTTATTAAATGTGCAGTGTTGTTTAGAGCTTTGTACTACTGTACTACTACTAGTAGTTTTTTTTTAATTGTTTTTTCTAAAGGGTTTCAGATAATGCAGTAGGGGATGAGGATAATCCCCTTTATTACATATTACAGGTCTACATTTGTATTTTTGAGATGTATTAGAAATAAGCATATTATTTTGTAAATTGCTTTGTATTGTACTTTTCCTGTCCTTGAAGAGGCAAGGTCAGCTAAAACTGTTTTAACCTTTGTTTTTATTGCTCTAGAACTCATACAAGGCCAAACAAAATAAATGATCACAGTAGAACTTCAGAAGAAGCTTTATATGACTTTTTATCTTAGCTGCTACTTGTTCTCTTTTTGTAGGAAGTGCGTTTAGATACAGCAGCAACTACATCACCAGAGACACAAGCTGCAGAAGATGGTATTAATCTCAACAGTGAGGTACTGTAATAATCTGAAGAAAGTGAACATTTCTCTCAGTGCACTTTTGTTATTTGTGAATTTTGTGTTGATTGAAAAATTATCTTTGCTCCTATTATTAGTACAAAATAGTTTAATTTTTTTGGTGTTGCCTCTGAGTTTACCTTTCTTGTTTTCCTTGAGATCCTGCGGAAACCTGGACCACATAGTACTGGTATTTTGCTAAGAATCTTATAAGGAAAAAAAAAAGATACATTTCAGCACACAGGGTTTTGCACCAAAGAAATCAGTAATATATGTATTTTTAAATAAAAGCACTATAACAAAGTTGGGTTCCCAACCTTGTCACTTGAGACATCAGTTGTGAGCATCTTGAACTGTATGAAGTTGATCCAGTCACTTTCCTTTCTCATTTGGTGATGGGAGACAAGACTTAGAATCATTATGTAGATTCCAAGTCAAAGATTTAATCCATGCAATTAAATTCTCTGGCCTACCAAATGTTCTGGAATAAATCCACTTCTGCCAAGGTAATGGCTTCTGTATTATGGAATGCTGAAGGAATTATGTGGACCAACTACCTGCCACATAAAATAGTTTGCTGGTGATTAAAGGCCGAATTCAGAAAATGTATGATGACATCCGTGAAAAATTATTTGAAATGGAGACTGTGCATGTTCATGTTGCATGATAATGCTTTGGTTCTCAAATCCCTTACATAGACATTTGTCCATTACAATGGTCTTGAGTAACCCAGTCACAGTCTGTACAGCTCAGATCTGGTTGCCCAAAGAATATATTTATTTTATTCACCTGGGTTGATGCTTTCAAGATGATGAGCTGACAGATGCTAACGATGTGTAGTTTTGAGGGGAAGTTAGAATATTTCTATTAAAGTAAGATTTTATTAGTTTATTTTATTTTATTATCTATTTAATATTTTATTAAATAGACATGTGGAATAAATTTATTGATGTCAGGGATCAATACCTGATTAACCAGGCTGTTTAATCGTATCAATTGATCGATTGATACGTATGGCTGTGAGCAGCTGCGTCCAATAGCTTGGTTGATCAGACCAACTACCAGGGGGCCTGGTCAGATAATGGGCCACAGGAACCTTGACCCCCCAGAATCACAAGGTAACCACAAGGTAAGGTAAGAACCTTGAAATATAAAATGAGATTTGTGATGTATCCTTTTTATTATGCATATATTCCATTTGAAAATATTTTACTGTTCCTTGTATTTAGTCTGACATAAGTTTATCTTGATTTATTTGTGCTCCCTAAGTTTGTCAAGCATACAGATAGTAAATATATGTAAAGGAATTAAGAGGCATATCTACTTGAGAATTGATGTAGGGAACAAGAGTTCTTCATTGGGATCACATATTAAATGGTTAGATAAATGATCAAGATTTCTTGTTGTGGTAGCTTTTTGCAGAGGTTTGTCCCTAAATTCTCTATATAGCTTTTAATTTACAGTAGTTATCTGCATACGTTACTCTAATTTACACTTTCATGTCTACACTTATACATATAGTGCAGTGAGAGTCAGACCACGGAGGAAGAATTGAAACAGGAATTTCCTTAAGTACTTTCGTATATCAATACATCTTCAGAAGGAGTCCTTCTGAAGTTCTGAGTGAAGGAGTTCACTCCTTCTGAAGATGTATTAATGTACGAAAGTACTTGAGGAAATTCCTGTTTCAGTTCTTCCTCCGTGGTCTGACACCGTCACATTTTTCATCACGTGTTTATTTTCGTGATTTACACACACATAGTGCTGTATATAATATACTCATTGTTTTAGAATAGATTTAATTTTGGAAAAAATGTGGATTCTGTATACAGGGTGGGTGTGTGTGTATGTGTATATATATATATATTAAATAAATAAATAAGTAAATTATGGCACAGATTTTATTTTTTAAGAAACTATATAAAATTTAAATGAACTTTATGTAATTCTAAAATATTCAGGCTGAAAGTGAAAAGCACGTGGGATTCACTTTGAAGAGTGAAGCTGCTGAAGCTGCAGAAGTTGTAGAGGAGGTTGTAGAGGACCTTGAGCGGCCAACTCGTCTGCATCGAAGAGACACACCTCATCACCTCAAGAATAAGCGTATAAGTCCAACCACAAAAAATGCCGACTTGGAGAAAGTTGCTTCTATTATCGCTCAGGTTAGCTATCATGTTCTGACAAGAAGATTTTGTTAATTTGGTGCTTCCACTGAGGGGACTATATTTTTCTGGTAATATTTCCATTTTTTTTCCTATGCTGCTTTATTTTAAATGAGATACTTAAATGTTATAATACGGAGCATTCACTTACAGTTTGTAAGTAAATTCCTTACTCTCTATTTAGTGAATAAAATATTGACTTTTCTATATGATGTTGACAACTCGCATACTAATTTTCACTCCATCACGTTGTAAGAATTTGGTAATCTGAATTCCGGTAACACAATTGAATTTGTGTTCATCTTTTTCAAGTTAAAGGTGAGAGTAAAGGGGTGAACAGCGGGAGTAATCTAGTAAACACTGGGAGTAACTGAGTAAACGGCAGGAGTAACCTGGTTACTCTGATATATGAACATGAATATATTTTTTCTGGTGTGGAAAGAGCTGAAGACAGTGTACCGGTTGTTGTGCTTACAGAGGAGGCTAGTACATCCGTGAAGGAGCTAAATGTAGCAAAGCTGCTAGTATCTGATGAGATGTGCAGAAATTATTAAATTTAGTGGAGATAAAAGAATGAAATATGTTTGCTGAATTTGCTAGAAAGCATAGGAGAGGTAAAATAATTATCAGGAGAAAGTGCTAAGGCATTATGACTATAAAGCACTTAGAAGGGATGAGACTGAGGATTTGGGATAGGATGGAGGAAAGGAATAGTGCCGATTGAAATAGCTCAAGAAGAATGCACACGAGAAAGACTGAATGGAAGAATTTTTTTTTACTTTCATAAAAAATGTGTTTTTTATATTTTTTGTATACAGTATTTAGTTTATTACAATGATGCTGTATGTGTTGCTATCAGTGTCAAAGGTAAGTTAAGCTCAGACTGATATGCATGTGCTGACTAGAGAAAAATTTGGATAAATAATTGGTTAAGGTATATGATGAATAACTTTGAAAACAAAATCAATTATGGTACCTTGTGTGAACCCAGATAAGCTGCCAAATACCTTAAATGTTTTAATGTTTTCTAACTTGGACAGTACCTGTGAAGTAAATAGTTATGAGAATTATGAAAAGATGGATCATGACAACTTGGGTGTTGATAATAATTTGCACCTGTATAATGTACTAATTGTTTAGTACATTATGTACTAATTGTTTAGTACTACATATATTAGAGGAATTAATTGTCTTCTCCTTTCCAAAATGTCTGTAATGGATTCACCAATGTATCCAGCCACTGCGAAGTGAATTGCGCAGAGTAAGTTGATATGAATTTTGTGTTTGAAGAAAGAACATGTTTTTAAATGTTTGTTAACTTTAATCTCTGAAGTGCAGCTCTATGAGCTGTGCCTGTGTGAAAATAATAATAATAATAATACCAAAGTCTATTTGGGTTTTGTGCACACCGGAAGATGTTGAATCAGGTGATCATTTGGCCGATGGGCTGTGGATAACATGTTTGAGACTGCATGGCATCATTCGGGGATTTGTTTAGTATTTAGATTCATAAGAATTTTTATAATATCCTCATTAGTTAAAATGTATTACTGTTTCCTCCATTATATTATATTTAACTTGACCAGGTTTAGAATATGTATTCCACTGCCAACCTTAAAACGATAATTATTATGCTCTGGTATTTGAAAATATAGCAGTAAACAGTTGATTAAAATTCCAATGCTTCTGCATAGAATATCGGCTGCTTTAATTTGTCATTGATATTGTAGACATTGGTGTTTGCGATGATGTAAGCAACTATTGCAGTGTTAGAAATCTTAATCCTCATCTAACCACTTTAAAATATGTACATATGCTGAGTGGGCAGCATGGCACACTTTTGTGTAAGGGTCTTTCCAAAGCCTCAGGAAAAACAGTATAAATAGGCCTAAAAAAATTTGGAGAACAAAGTGTGACCTGTTCCTGCAGTGTGTTGATCATGGGCAGTAGTGCTTGGTGTGTGGTGCTGCACAATTCTCACCATCACACCATATAATTTTTGTTTTTTTTTCTTAATTTTGGTGTGTTAAAAGTACGAAATTCAAATACACTCGATAGTGGATTCACAAAATTTTCTATGCACACAGTATAATGTACTGTACTATGCACTTTGGTGCTGAAACAGAATTATTAATTCTGGGTGCCTTCTGCTGCACCCAGGTTGAAAATTTTTTATTACCACTGTTTTGTTGATTTCATTAGTGCAAATAATAATAAGCAAATTGTCCTAAGTTTATACTAAAATCACTTTGGAAAAGTAAATGAGGTCAAAGCAGAAGAGGTCCTTTATTTCTAAGCTATTTTACTTAGATGCTTCCCAAGGCAGTATATGACAGAGTTCCCCTTGAACGAGATCATAATAATAGTAAATGCAGGAGGACAGTCTACACCAGAGCAGTAGAGATCTTGTAAAATAGCCCTAAATTTAGATATTGATACTAGGAAGGCAGTGAAGAAAAAGCTAAATTCCAGAACTACTCAAGTTTATTTACAAACTTTAAAAGTATTTCCAAGCTCTACTTTCATCAAAGACTACCAAGTAGTTCTTTCAACACACTGCTAGGTTCTCATTTGGATGCTTACCTTGACTGCCACCAATGAGCAACACCCTTTGCAAAACCATCTCGCTAGTCTTGAGCCTCATCATCTTTTCCTGACATCTCTATGATAGGTGATCATGTGTGAAACTGGATTCCATTAACTGCATTGTTCTTGAGAAACTTAGCTTTTATTTCCAGTGATCTCCCTGTGTTCTTTATAAGACAGTACTTAAAATTGGAACATTTACCTTGTATGTGTGACAAGTTATTTGAGTCTTGTTACTTCATTTACCAGTAACCGGTTACATCTCTAAGGTTCATGTTTTAGCCTATTTCGACGACTGGAAATTGTGGGCTCCCAGCCAATCTCTGTGTCGGCAAGTTTGAGATCTGGTTCTTTCCCCAGCTTTCTAGGTTCAGGTTGCTGGTGAACTGAAGTCCCAGTTGGATCCATCCTAGTATTCCATTTACCTTCCATTTAAGGCTCTGGTAAAAGATAATATATAAAAGTGCTCCTTGGTGGCCTTTACGATGCCAAGTTGGACTCGACTAGCCTTTTAAAGAGTTTGAATGAACTTTGTGGTTATTCTGGGTTGATTTAAGCTCTTTTATCCAATGCCTTTTATCTAGCACCAGTATGAGTCAGCAGTGACATTGAAAAGACCCCCTGCTGAATCGGTGCAGTATGTCACCCCACCTCTTCTGCTTTGGCCATTTCATGCTCAGAAAGTCTCTTTTCATATTCTTAAGTTTTATATTTTATTAAATATTATTTTTGTATTGTATTTCTGTCCAGCTAATGTGCCGGTTATTTCATTCAGAACTCTTCTATTACTTTGCATCTACTCTTACTGATCTTAGAACTTGGTGAATTCTTCTGGTGAAATAGTTAGATTTAAATTGGGTTCTACTGTATATACAGTATTTTATACTGTGTATGCAATATATGATTAATTTCTAAAAACTTTAAAACTATTGTATCTTATGTGAGAGATAGGAAATGCTGCATAATTTTTAAAGATTGTGCTGTAGAATTGGCTAAATTTCTATAAAGGTTTTCAAACTTTATTTCAACAATTGGCAAGGGATTTTTTGGTGATCTCGTACATTTAATATATTTAATAATTCCGGTATTAATTTAGGCGTTTCTCTCAGCAACAGGCATTGCAGCGTGGAGAGGGCAGTGAAGGAGACAGTAATCATGATCATGCTGCTTCTGAATCTGATGCTGACAGTCGTTCCATCAGTGAGTAAAGAGATTTTGACAATAAAACCATTTAATCATTGTTTTACTAAAGGACAGCTAGTTCATCAGAATACTTGTATACAGGTTGGGGGAATATTCAGTGTAGTGAATGGGTTTTATAACAGAAACAGCATACACAAAAGATGGACTAATGTGCAGTGACTGATATGATATAAATGAAGTACCTGAAGAATGTATGAGGTTCTCTTACTTGTACAGTAGTCCTGAAATAAGTAATAGTTAAGGAGAAGAAAAGTTTAAACCCTTTCTTAATTACTAAAATAAGTTGAATATGTAAAATTTGATTTACTGTATGTTCATAATATAGATGTGATAGGATTGTATATACTGTAGTTAGTGGTGTACTTGAGAGAAGGTAATTGATGGTAAATGCAAGTATACAAAGTATATGATAAGGGAAAAGGAAATCATTTGTGTGACATCCATGAATGTGTGTGTAGATAAATATTTTATTTCTACTCCATGGACTGACTGAATATCTTAGAAATAACAGCGTCTGTTTGCTACAGAATGGCACAGCATAATCTTAGAAATAACAGCGTCTGTTTGCTAGAGAATGCCACAGCATAGATTTATATAGTCTGCCTGACCTCAGCAAGAGTTTTGTACAATTAGTAAGAAAGTAATAGTGCTGATGCAACTTTCATTAGCAACTGTTAGTTGAAAAGAATTGGGGTTGTTTAACATATATATAGATGTTGATTTGAATATTGAGGCTGTTATGAGTATTAATTAGTTTGCATTCATATATGCAGATTATTTTTTTTATTAATTATTTTACACAACTATTGTTATAGTGAAGATATGCATGTGGGGTATTCCAGCTTCTTTATTTAAATATCATAAACGTTATTAAAGTTTTCAGTGGTAAACAAAAATTTGAATTAATTGGTCAATTCCAGTTAAAAAAAAAATTGACGAAATGATATTGGTAAGGTCTCCTACTGGTGAAAGTTTCTTTAATAAGAGAATTAAGAATAAAAAATGTTAAGTTTAAAAGGACATGCACACACACAAATCACAATAGCGTGATACATTGATACATTGCGTGATTGTCGTGGCGCAATCGAATAATGCGCCTCTGGGATCATCCCAGATGTAGACTTGAACCCTCATCATGCCTTTTGTGGATTTGTTCATATAAAATGGCAACAAATTTCAAAAATAAAAAACATACAAATTTTAAGATTTGATATTTATTGCACTGAGTTGTCATAATGGCAACTATACTTGATTTCTTTGGTTCAAAAGTACTCATATAATATATACTGTGTGTGTGTATATATATGTCGTACCTAGTAGCCAGAATGCACTGCTCGGCCTACTATGCAAGGCCCGATTTGCCTAATAGGCCAAGTGATTTCCTTTATTTTCAATAAATTGTTTCCAATTAGTTTATTTGAATTATTATTATTATATTTTATTAGGAACATAAAATATTGACATAGTTGTATTAGTTTAGGTTAGGTTTAGATAGGTTAGGTTAGGTAAGGTTGGTTAGGTTCGGTCATATATCTACGTTAGGTACTAGGTACGTTAAGTTACTAGGTACTATCTAGTAGCCAGAATGCAGTTCTTGGCCTACTATGCAAGGCTCGATTTGCCTAATAAGCCGAGTTTTCCAGAATTTAAATATTTTTCTAATTTTTTTCCTTATGAAATGATAAAGGTATTCATTTCATTATGTATGAGCTATTTGTTTTTAAATTTGAGTTAAAACTAACATAGATATATGACCGAACCTAACCAACCCTACCTAACCTATCTTAACCTAACCTAAACTAACATAACTAAATCAATAATTTATGTTCATAATATAATATAATAATAATATTTAAAATAAACCAATAGGAAACAAAATATTGAAAATAAAGAATTACTCGGCCTATTAGGCAAATCAGGCCTTGCATAGTAGGCTGAGAAGTGCGTTCTGGCTACTAGGTACGACATATATATATATATATAATAATAATAATTATTTATTTGTTTATTTAGTGGCTGTAAAAAAATATTTAAATACATCCAAAATTAGCATAAATCAGCACAGTATAAAATTTATACAGTAGCTAAAATTTCTAGGTTAATTATAATTCTGGATCACAGTATCCCTGGAGCTGGAAACTTACTTAATATGTAGGCTTGACAAGAATTGCTCGCAAATTGAGCAGCAGACTTTGGAATAAAGGTTCTCGGGTAATATATTTCTTTTGTTTCCGGTCATAGTTATGTCGGATTCTAACTTATTGAATACATTCTAACTTGTATAAGGTATTAGAGGAGAAGTGTGCATCTCTAAGTTTTAGCAAACTCTTCAAACAAGCAATTAAAAAATTACTGTATTACATTTTTTTTTTAAATTTTGACTGTACCTTTTTTTTTTTTTATATTCACACATTCATTGTATTTAACATATGTCACTATATTTATTTGATATTCAATGACATTATTAGTCATATTGTATTTTATTGATCTGTGTAGTGATGCAAGCTTGCAATATCATTGCAACTACTATGTACTGTACTTCAGTAGCTAATTGTATTGACGATATTTAGCTTATCTACAATACTTTGTGATTATTTCACTTACATTCGCTAATAGCCCTGTGCCATATCAATAGCAGTCGTGAATTTTGGATACAATATATAATACAGGTAGTTATAATGTGGCAGAAGTGCAGAGTGAAGAAGTTTCTAGTCAGCCATTTTTATATTCCTATTATTTGAAATTTTATATTTCAAATAATAAAATTTTGTGCACATACAGTATTAGTGATAGGTAAACATAAATATACTCATGTTCTACATGTTCTGTGATATATATTTTATTGTTGACAGCCCAATCAATCATTGTACATGAAAAAACCATGGTAAAAGCATAAAAAATACAAAGATACAGTATATTTAATGCGTGTAGTTACAACTTCGTGCAAAATATGCAGGGCTAGGTGGAACTCAGATTACTGGATACGAAATTAATACATCCACCAGAACTGCTTTGTGGTTCATAATGGTGCACGAATATGTAGATAGTTACATATAATATCTTTATACAGTGTAATAACAGCAAAAACAGTGTGTGTTATTGTTTTAAAAATATAATATGGTGTGCATATTAGTGACATGAATATATATTTTAGCGTACCAAAGTGCCCCACATGTTATTACATTAATGTCATCCGGAAATAGATTCATGCACCGGCGGGAAACAACGAATTGTGATGTGGCAATAATCGCCTTACTGATAATACAGTTAGCCGTGTCTATTTATAGTAGACAATTAAAAATAACAGTAGACATTTTCATGGTCTAGTTTTTACATTAGATAGAGATGTATTATAACCATATTTATCTAATTTGTATGAAAACCAGGTAATAACAAAAATTGACCAATGATGCTATCTGCATTACTCCAGGGAATGACGTTTGACAATAACTGCAATTTGAGGATTAACAACGTGTTTAACATAATTTGTACTGTACAGTATTGTGGAATATGCTTGGCATAGCCATGTGGGATATCTTACTTGATTAGTTTGTTCCTTCCCTTTGGAATGCTACCTTCCACTGGGTTAGATTACATGTTCTGACAATCTGGAGGCAAGTTGAGTCCCTCTTGCTCAAAAGTAATGAGATATATATAGTGTCCCAACTTCTAGGGATAGGTCCCATCCAGTTTGGCTATTCTTGTTAGGAAGTCAAGTCAGATTTCTGTACCTAACTCAGAAGTTTGATTAAGATAAAAAAAGAAAGATGAAAGTGACTTACCTTGCAGTGTGGGAGAAATTATTTAGCAATGAATGCTTTAATAGAAAACATTGAAAAGTATGGAATTTATTCTTATAGTTACCTTTTAATTATTTGTTCCATTCAGAGTCTATGAAATATTGTTTTAAAGTCTGCTTAGGTCCCTTTTTTAGTGCCACCTGTCTTTTGTCTGCCTGTGTACTGGGGTATATATTTATGTTGTGCAGAAGTTATGAGTTTATCTCAACATGAGCTGAGGATAATTGTATTATTTTTATCTGTTTTATTTAATTTTATAAAATTAATAACTTGTTTATAGCTCTTTTTTTTTTTTAGTGAACCTGTTTCACTGTTTGAAAGATGATTGTTATATCATATTCTTACCAAATATTTTAAGATAAATTTTCTTTATTTTCTCTACAAATTGGAATGTACTCTATTTTTACTGATTTATTTTTTTTTTCAATATTTGCAGTCTCAGACTCTGGTCCCTCAGTTGTTGTTGAGGAGAAGAGAATGGATGTGAACGTTGAGCGGACAACTGGCGGCCTTGGTCTTTCTATAGCAGGAGGGCGGGGATCAACACCTTACAAGGGAGATGACGAGGGAATTTTCATTTCACGTGTCACTGATGGTGGACCTGCTTATCTTGCTGGATTAAGAGTACGTTGTTTTAAGCTTGAGTTATCTGGAGTCATTTCTAGGGAAATATTTATAAACAAAATTAACTTTCATTAATATACATACTGTACATGATTTCAGGGAAAATATACTTATAATACAAATTTGTTCATACATATTGAAATTTTTAATTGCTGCACATTTATACATTGTACAGATGTCATTGGATAAAATTAAAGCACCGCTGTACATTCGAGTATTATGCAGTTGTTAGTACATACAGTTGAATCACACATTAACATCTAATACAGTGCTGTATTAATAATAACAAAATTAATATATATTAGATTAATTAGCTTAATGTATATCATACATTTATAATATATATTTCTGAATGAAGTTGTTAATAGTAAAAACAGGAAAAAAGAAGTCGTAAACTTTGAGACGGCGTAAGGATGTGGTGACTTCACTGTCCATCACTGTGTGGTACAATCAACCCAGCATCTTTTGTATCATAGGGGTTTGGGATTGGACTGGGAGCCATCTTCACATAATGTCGTCTTAGCAAAAACACAAGTTTTTTTTTTTTTTTTATTCTGGTTATCTGGGGCCTGCACCTGTTTAGGCCCCTGGCAAAAGGAAAAGATTTATAAGGCTATTGGGAATGTTTCAGGAATATAAACAGTAGCAGAAAATGCTGGAATCGATGAACTTTTTTACGGAATGCAAGTTTGACGTGCTAGGGTTTCTTAGACTAAGTCTAAAGTGTTAACTGTAAAGGTCAAGTAATTATACAATATGTGTAATAAGTGTTTCAAATAATATAGTGGGAATGGGTTCTGAAAATGATGTAATGAGCATAAATGATATATTAGGAATGACTAGAATGACTAACAATAGGTGTTGATTAAGAGATTTATGTTATGAGTTATGTATTATTGATATAAGTTTTCAAGTTTTTTATATTTATCATTTAAGATATATATATATATATATATATATATATATATATATATATATATATATATATATATATATATATATATATATATATATATATATATATATACACAGTATATATATATATATATATATATATATATATATATATATAAAATATATAAAATATAAAATATAAAATCCAATTTTTTTTTTATTTTGTTAACGGAAATGTCATATTATAATCGTGAAAAGTTCTGAAAGGTCCACCACTAGATCTCTTGCTTTATCAAAATTTTTGGAAGCTTTTTGTTTGTGTGTATGTGTGTGTGTGTAAAATGTATGTATGTACTGTATGTATACATATGGATGTGTGTAAATAATACTCACACATAATTTATTTAGGAATGAATGAATTTGAGACAAAGGTCATGTAGAATCTGATTGTACATGAATAACCATTATCCTTTGTTGAGCTAATTAGATTACTGATTTGTGTTAAATCAAGGTTTTTTAGCATTTTTCCTGTTTATCAGGTTATATTCCATTAAGTGGAATCCCAATTGTTCATATCAGTTACATGTTTTTAATTATATCTTAAGGCAGAAATATTACAGGGCTAAATGTAACAACTAATACATGCATTTTTTAATTTGTACAGGTTGGTGACAAACTTCTTATGGTAAATGGGCATGATGTTGAAATCTGTGACCACTATGAAGCAGTGAACATCATGCGTGAGGCAGGATCTCAGTTAAGGCTTGTAGTTACACGCGAAATAACAAGAATTGTTCCAGAAAAGGTTGGTCAATTATTTCTGCTTTTAGAATTGTAATAGCATATACTACACATTATATATACAATTAAAAATTTTATAACCATTGGAACCACCTAAAGTTTTTTAAGCATAGATAAACAAAAACTTAAAATTTGTCATGACTATTTTGTAAGAAAAATGTGATATGGAATTACAGTTAAATGCCCAAGATGGGATGATTTGACTATTCAGTGTCTAGTGTGTTATTTCTCTCTTTCTGCTTGTGAAAGAGACATTGTACCTGATATTCTAGTCAGGTAAGAATACTAGGTATTCTTAACTGACACCAATAGCTGGTGTCAGTTAAGTGTTAAATATTTATTTTTGAATGTTGCTGGGGATTAGCCAGAAGTGTGCTTCATCATTTCAGTCATTAAATCCTAATGTGTACATATACTCTGTATATGTGAAAGTGTGTGTTTTGATAGCTGGGCAGCATGGTTGCTAGGTAATGAGTGATGGGGTGAGGTGCTGTGTCATTTATCTTTACATTTTTAGTTTTTTATTTTGCGCTTTATTAGTTTTTCCATGATCTAAAGATATATTGGTATGTTACTAGTAGTTCTGCATGCAAAAAGTAAAAAAAATAAAAAAAAATGCAAATATCTAAGTCTTTCCTGGCTTTGTACACTATGGAAGGATGCCATTTGGAGGAGTCATTGAGTATATGGTCACAAAATGTACAGTTTGCTGATTTGGGGTGGAGTTTGGACATTCATGTTCAGCTTGAATGATTTTTGTGTATTGCTTCACTTTAATTTACACATTATTTTTGTTTTAAATAACTATGTACACATTAATGACAAAAATAATGATTCAGTACTGTATTTTTATGGTCTTGTGCAGTTGACTTTGTTCTTGACTCAAAATCAGGGATTCTGGGATCCATTCCCAGGCAGGACAGAAATAGTTAAGCACATTTCCTTTCACCTAATGTTCAAGTTTATTAAAAGTAGAACGTGTCCCAGCTTCGATCCTTGAGGTACTCCACTCGTTACTGTTCGACAGCCTGACTTGTCGCCCCTGATTGTTACTCTCTGGCTCCTTCCTGTTAACTAATTCTTCATCCAAGCTAGGGCTTTTCTGCATATCCTCACCTTCCTCTCAAGTTTGAATAGCAGTCTCCTGTGTGGTACTATGTCAAAGGCTTTTTGGCAATCCAGAAATATGCAGTCTGCCCATCCTTCTCTGTCCTGCCTTATTCTTACTACTTTATTTTGGAATTCCAGAAGATTTGTTAGGTATGATTTCCCTTCTCTGATCCCTATTGGGATTTGTTTTCATACCTAATGTTCTCTAGGTGTGAAATTAGTCTTAACCTAATTATTCTTTCAAATACTTTACAGGGGATACTTCTCAGTGATACTGGTCTTTAGTTAAGTGCCTTTTTTCTATCTCCTTTTTTGAAAATTGGTACCACATTTGCCTTCTTCCAGCAACAGGGCAATTGCCAGTAGCTATGTGATTATTGTTAAATCACAATTTGTTGTTTCCTGCTGGTGCTTGAATTTGTTTCTTGGTGTCATTATCAGAATAGCAGCAAAGATGTTGTTTGTAAGACACTTCTTTAATCCGTGCAGGGAACAGTTTTATGCACCATATAGGTGTACCCAATTAACCCAATGATCCCCTAACCTAGCATCCTCCCAACGTGTATGAAAAAAAAATGACGTAGATTTTTTTTTTTTTTTTTTTTTTTTTCATCTAAATGTACATTAAAAAAAATTTGGCACACAGGCAGTGGCATTATTTATAATAGCCGTTTAACATTTACCCCTAACACTTTTAGAGGGTTACGGTTAAATGTTTCGTAAACAGTAATGTAAAACGTTTACGTATAGAAATATAACTGTTGTTATATGCACACCCTGTGTTTGTTTATATCAATATTTGTATTAGTTTAAGTCTTGTAGTTTTACATAATACACATTTTACATTCAAGTATATATAATGGATATGGATATTTTAGGTTTGCTGATTTTATAAGGTCTGGAGAGTGTGATGCAGAGTACTGTATAATACTACACTTCATTCTTAGACCATATTGTTACCAATGTGTGTTTCTGCTTTTTTTTTTGTATTGCACACACAACATATTGACTTGATTTGCTTTGCAATTGGTGGTAAGTAGCCAATATACAGTTATGTTATAAATAATAATTCTTGCCAGTGCCAGGTAGATATGGTGCATTGTAGGCCTAATTGCATTGAGCCTTGCAGGGTCTGCAAGGCTGATTTGGTTTCCTGAACATGAGACAAGTGTTCTTAGCTTTCATTTTATATTAGGGGACCAGTTTCTCCTGATGTACAATGTATTAATATTATTTTTCTTTTTCCAGATAAATTCCAAAGTAGAGCCTATTGGTAATCATGTGATGGCTGAAGAAGTAATAAACACCTGTGCTCCCAGTTCAGCATTAATAAAAACTGATCCTGAGCAGATACCACCAACAGAGGTAACATCCAACCATATTGATATGACTATCAATGGTCATAGTGATCCAATTACTGTAAATGGTGAACATACAAGTATAAATGGAGATGCTGAACCAAATGGTGAAATGGAGGTGGGTTGTGGATAACATTTTCTTTGTAATTTTCTTTGCACTGTTAATGATCTTCATGTTATGTTTAGTAAACTTACTGTATTTGTAATTTTTTGTTTAATTGTTAGTTTATTTTCTAATGACATAAAACCCTTAGCAGTTTTATAATTTTTCTCATGTATGTATGTGTACATACATAAATATATATATTTATGGATATTTATATATATATATATATATATATATATATATATATATAAATAAATAAATAATACAGTAGAACCTCTGTATAAGAATTGAATCCATTCCAAAACATGCTATGTAACCCCGAATATTCATACACTGAATCAAATTTTTCTATAAGAAATAATGTAAATTGAATTAATCCGCTCTACACATTCAAATTCAAATTTTTTATTCAGGTAAAAGTACATAGAAGACGAGTTAAAAACATAAAGTTGGATTTCCAGATAGAGCTAGTACATACTATATCTAAAGCCACTAATACGCATAGCATGTCGGTCACACTCAGAAGTATTACAGTAACTTTAAAATACATTTTATTCAGAATACTAAATTTAAAATTAAATTTTTTCACCCACAAAACAATAAGGAATAAATGTAAAGTAAATAAAATTAATGATCATTTAACTCCACTTTACCCTTATTGAGGATTCTTGTTGGTATATGGAAGGGAGGAGGGGGGTGGGGGAAGGGGCAGGGAAGGTAGATGTTAGTGATGACTTTTCTGGGGTACTCTCTCTCTCCTATGTTTTGCAGGCATTCCACTAGGACCTGGTTGTGACTGACTGCTTTCTTGTCTTACTAAGAATCTGTCTAAAGACACTTGTTTTTGTATACATTTTAACAACTGTCTGTAGTGAGACATCACTTTGTCAATAAAAAGGTTAACACAACAGCTTTCTACAGCTTTATTTGGGCAAGTCTCTTCAGCAAAATGTTGCATGGTGTGATATATGATAAGAACTTTTATGTTAAGCAACAAAAAGGAAAACACAAAAATTATTAAATTGTTCACAGAGAATTCAAGCGCGGTTTTCACTAGGCGGGATACAAGCATAAATTGATCTTACCGACTCGGACAAGTATGAATGAGTGGTTCATGAGCACAGAGGTTCCACTGTATTTATATATATGTATAGATATATTCTATATATTTAGATATGCAACAAAAATCATGAAAACACTAATCAAAGTATGCGGAAAAACCACATTGAAAGATTAAAGAATGCTAATAACGATTTCGACCATCAGGTCTTCATCGTAGCTAGACAAATCTGATGAAAACCTGGCGTGCAAAAATATATTTAGTATTCTTGTATTTTTCAATGTGGTTTTCTGCATATATATAGATATATATGTATAGATATAAGCATGTATTGTATGCCATGGGCTGTTGCTATAGTTCTCTTCCTTGTAATATTTTTATTTTTGTAGCGCTTGATGTAGATAGTGCATGATTGTTTTAACTTTTTCATCAGCACTATGACAAAGAGAACTTCCCGACGCAGATACTGACGGAAACCATCTATACAACACTCATGCGGGACCACAATGGTTTGGGATTCAGCATAGCTGGTGGGAGAGGAGCAGCACAGTTCAAAGATGGATCAGAAGTGAGTAGTGTAATAGAGAAGTGATTGTATTTTTGTCTTAATGTGAGTGGATGATGATACGTGCGGGCACGCACGCACGCACATACATATATATATATATTGTTATATATTTGTGTGTGTGGGTGTGTTCTCTGTAAACTGTAGCATTGCAATAAAATAAAACAAAATGTATAAAAAAATAATAAGGGTGGTAGGAGAAGAAAAGAATAAAGTATTCAGTGAGAATCCACAAGTTCTTCTCTGAATGCTCTTTGTTTTCTTCTTCGAGGATGTGGGTCCCTGCAATTGCACCAGAGGTGGTACCCCTAATTGATATTATATTATAAATATATATATATATATATATATATATATATATAATATATATATAATATATATATAATATATATTATATACTGTATGTGTGTATATATATAATATATATATATATATATATATATATATATATATATATATATATATATATATATATATATATATATATATATATATATATATATATATATATATATATATATATATATATATATATATATATATATATATATATATATATATATTATACTTAGAAGGTGTACCACCTCTGGTGTAAGTGTAGGGACCCATAGCCTCGGAGAAGAAAATAAAGAGTACTCAGAGAAGACCTTGTGGATCCTCACTGAACACTTTGATATTTTCTTCTCCTACCACCCCTATTCTTTTGGTATGTGTGTATATATATTTAACTTTATTTGAAAATGTCATTACACAAAAAGGGTTACAACATTGGTTACATGCAGGGTACAAGGCTACTTTTATTTATTTAGGCCACATTTATTTATTTATATAAAATGTATATAGATTTATTTACCCTGCAGCCATGGAAAGAGGGTTAGCAGGTTGTGGGGGGACTATACATATACATCTACATTGGCTGATACCTTCTATCTCACAGTACAGCTGAGGGTGGAGGGGCTGCCACCTTCTTGGAGACCCAGAAAACTCTCTCTCTTCCTGAAGGTGGCAGCCTTCATGGAGTTTCATCAGGTACCTGTTCCTTATATAATAGTTACTTAGTTTCAAAGAACAATCTCATTAAATAAACAAGTCTCTTGGGGCAGGCTTCAAATGGGCTGAGGTAGGATAACAGCTCTTGCTTGCAGTTTCACTAGGTTCCTAAGTTGAGAGCCCTAATGAACCTTAGTCTTAACAAAAAGAAATAGTTGCAGGCTACTATAATGTTGGTTTGTGGTTCGAGGCCCCTGTGGCACAAGTGCATGAAAAATGTTTTTATCCACATATAATTGTGGTTAGCAATTTGTGTGACTGTGGCTTACATCACCTGATACCTCCATGCTCAAGTGGCACACCAGGGGAGGCCTAAAGTCTCATTTGGATACCAGTTGCATATCTTTGTGATTGCCTATTATTTTGGTGTGCTAAGTTGGTCAGGTGGCAGAGCAGCCTGCAACCATTCTGGTCTGTGGTTCGAGGCTCTTATAGCCTGAGTGGATGAAATTGCTCCATTTGATTTTCTTGCTGTTACCATTGTTTGCTTTCGTAAAAAATATATCTTATTTCATACTTGCACATTGTCTAATTTGTTATTTTCATGTGTACACATTCCAGTATTCCCTTGTTCATTGATGATAGGTTTTAGGCCCAGACCCAAACTCTGAGATTATTGCTGTTCGGTGCTTGATGGATTCCAAATTTATGAAATCTGTGCATTATTACAGTATCTTAAATTATACAAAATATTATCGATGGTGTCAAAGTTAATATATACAGCAATACTTTCTTTGTAGGCTATCTACATATCCAGAATAACGGAAGGTGGAGCAGCTGCTAAGGATGGAAAGTTACGGATTGGGGATAGAGTTATATCTGTAAGTTTAAAAAAATAAATGGACTTCAGTTTGTCTTTTAAATTTTTTTAAAATAAACTTTTGTTTTAGAATTTTAGAATCTATTGTTAAATTGGTCAGTTCTCAAGAGCCATAATAAAGAACTAAAATAATGCTCAAAATACTGGACAAAGAATTCAGATGTTTAGCCAGTATTGATCTTTTGTAAGTGTTGTTAACTTTTTTTAAAACTTAATACTGTATAGGATTTTTATTATGATTGAATCATGTAAGGTATCTTATAATAGTACTGTATATCAAAATATACAATACTATAGTATAGTATTTTTTTATGTACAGTACCATATTAAAAATGGGATGTTATTCATGAAAAAAATACATTGTATAATTTGTTAACAAATTGTAATGGCTCAGTTATAATAATACAGTGCATGGTTGACAAGTGATCATATGTCTGTATTATTGTAAGGTTATTCAGTAACTTATACTTAATGCCCTGCAGCGTGATATTCTGATCTGTTTGTTAAATTAGTGATGATGTATTTGGTGACTTTTTGGGGAGGGGCTCACTTTGGCAACACACTGAGCTGCCCATCTGGGTGCCCCCAAGCCTTAGGCACCCCACCAGGCATTTTTTAAATAATGAGTGCCTACAGAAGACCAGTAGCAGAGTCTGGTCCCTTCAGTAAAGGCAAATGAATCCTGGGAATACATAGATGAACTTGCTCTAAAAAACCAAGCTATAAGACATGTACAGCACACCAAAACAAGGCATTGTATAGAAAACATTGGTAACCTTGATACAAACTGTTTATATAATCATATGTTGAGCAGAACCAATCACTAATTAGAAGCACTCATTTAACACGAAATGGCAGTCCTACCAAATAGGTGTCCCAGTTGGGTATCCCGGTCAGTCGTGCACCTGGTGACACCTATCCTAGGTGCTCTGCTACAGTTTGTTCAGGCTTCAGAGGGCAGTTAAGTGTTGTTTTTTTCTTTCATTCTTTGTCCTATGCAGGGGGGACTGTTCTTGTTATTGTTCCTTTTCCAGCTTCACATTCATATTTTTTTGGTCACACTGTTGGGAGTCTTAAGAGCCTGTTTGCCTTTACTGCTTGTGGCTAGAAGAATCCAAACCTCCAAGGGGAATGGAACCCTGAAAAGATGGGGGCAAAGCCAGTGGTTACTGGAGAAAGAATTAATGCCACAAGTAGTTGAAGTGAACAAGACTGAGATCTAACAAGAAAGTGAGACTGACTTAATGAGACATGCCCATTAAGTAAAATAAAAATTGAAACACATACAATCGCAGGTCCCTGCAGGACAGTTCAAAATGATAGCCATTACTTAGCGGCATGAGGAATTCCAGCTAGTCACACCAGGCACATGAGTTAGGTGGTCAACTTGTTGGAACCCTGGGTTGTCTTGGCTCCCATTTGGTGGTGGGGAAAATGTAGCTAACTAGTGGTTGGGGCTGGCTAACAAATGTGTACATAGTTTGTCAGGATTGCAAAATTTCTTCATTTAGTTGCTTGTTTTAGGGTGCTTTAACTTTTTTTTTCCCCCTTCTGGTTTGGGTTAATTTTGTATCCTGAAACTCCGTTGCCTCTAGTGAGTGGACCAGAATCTGCTTTTGGTCTCCTATAGGTACTTGTAACTGGAAAGGGCCCAGTAAGGTGCATTGCATTAGGTTTGGAGCTACCAAACTGGATAGTTTGAAAAGTCATTGAGAGGACCCACCAGGAGGAGGCATTTCATTGCATTCAATGCTAGATTTTTATAATATTTAGATACATTTATACTATAAATTAGTATTGTTTCCATTGAAGGATTCATTAGAATTTGGGATGGAAAGGAAGGAGGTTGGTACAAATAGATAATCATATAAATATTATCCTCTTCCCTCCTCTTTTCCTTCCCTCCCCTTTCCCTGTCCTCTTCCCCTCATTCTTGTTCTCTGCCTCACCTTTTTTGTCCCTTCACCTTATTGTTTCTCTTCCTCCTACAATGACTTGCCTTCCCTCCGTCTTTCACTCATCTTTTCCCCATTCATATTTAATGGCAAATAGCTCTGACATATAGAAAGTATGTGTATTTATGTAATTTTATTTTCATGTTTCAGATCAATGGTGTAGATTTAGAGGGAGCCCGGCATGATCAGGCTGTGTCAATGTTAACTGGACTGGAACGTTTTGTCCGTTTAGTAGTTCATCGTGAAACATTAGTGCCTCCTGGTCAGGGTAATAGTAACAGTTCTAAAGCATCTCCACGGGTGTTTGGCGCACCTAGACCCTATACTGGCCTATACAGTGCAGGTTCTTACATGGCCAATCGCCCAAGTTACACGGGTTATAGACGTGCTCAGCCAGGTGGACGGTTATCAAGCTCAAATTTAACAGATGCCAACCATAGTGCTCAGGAAAGTCCTGTTGCATCTCCTGCCACAGCAGCCAAACAGCAGCAACAGCATCAACTTAGTGAACTCACAGAACCAACAGCATCATCAGCAACCCCCACCAGAGCAACCATCCCATCTGGCACCACCCAGGTAGCCCAACATCGACCCCTCACTAATGATGATTTTCAGGCCATGATTCCACAGCATTTTCTGGAGGGTGGTCGGGAACAAGATCAGGGTAACCCCTCTGTGCATGTAACCGTCAACTTGCCAGCGGATCACACCCCCATGGGTGTGGTTTTTCCACCTCCACCTACCAAATTAGGAAAGGTCAAAGAGACGATCACCAAATCTACCCTCACCGAGACAGTAGTAACACGGATCACTGACAACAAGCTGGCCCCTGTGGCACTTGTAGTAGAGGTAAGGTGGGCTGAACCTGCCGTTAATACAGTCACACCTGGGAGAGGACTGACAGTTATGGCACATTGCTGATATGCTATAAGATTTTCTCCATGCTTGTAGTGATCTCAAAAGGCAAAGCTTTGTTTAAAGTTTTATAATTTGATAATTAAACAATATTAAATTCGATTTGTAATTTTCATAGCTGTGCCTCTCACATTTGTTTTACTTATTCTCTGCATCGTCATGTGAGAGAGTAATGAGTTTCCCTCTCTGCTGGTTTGAAATATTATTTCTGTTTAATAGTTGGAGAATGGCTTTGTAGCTTTAAAAGGATTTTCTTTAATTATCTAGGTCAAATTCAGTATTCCGACCTGTATGCAAATATGGGCATTAAAATCTTTTTTTTTTTTTTTTTTTTTTTTTTTTTTACTTTATATATTCCATTTCACCCTTGATGTTATTTAGAGTAAATAACAGTCACAGGACAGTCTATCTTTTAAGTTAAATCATTTCATTGGGACCAGGTCTTATTTAAAGATTTTTTAAAGGCTTTATAACCCTCTGTTCTCAATCCATCACAGTATAACAGCCTGGCTGATCAGATGTAGTTTGCTCAAAGGTTTATAATTTTCCCTTGCAGAATCAGATAGCTTTTGTCCATGTCTTTATGTTGTTGTTTGTAATTCAGTCTGCACAATTATTGGCTATTGCTGTTTATGGAAGCCAATTTACAGATTTACAGTTTACAGATTTTTATAATATTACAGGCCTTGCAATCTGAACAAACAGTTGTGATAGCATTGTATGCTTTGCTTTCAATTAAATTGATTTTGTGTATAGATGTTATACCACTGCTTCATATACAATAATCTCTGTTTAAAACTGATAGTTTTATGCAGCATGTTTCCTGTGTTTCAACACAGGATATTAAATTTCAACTGTGCACTTGATCTTCATTAATTGATTGGCACTATGTCAAGTTGTCATCACCATCAACATAAGAATTTCTGACCCCAAAGAAATTATCAAGATAATTACAAATTTCATGCATTGTTTAAGTTGCATACAAGAACAGTGTATACAGTAGTCTCATGTATAGTTGTAGTTTACGGGAGTAAGTTTTCTTATTTTTGAACTTAAAAAGAGGAATACTGAAAAAGACCAGGAACATTTATTTTTTCCTTGAGAGCGATTATCTGTAGCATTTTATATTTCTTAATAATCTGTGTAGTGAGTAATTTTATATAACTGAAGTCCTCTCCTTGATAATCTTTACACTAATGCACACTAAATATATTAATGGCAGAGCATCTTAGGTTTCTTGTGTGGCTTGGTCTGGTGCATTTATGTAGAGAAACACAAACATGAGGTGCAAACTATACTTCCAAGACAAAACATTAACTGTGAAAGAATTCTAATCTCATCTTGGTGTTTTTCAATCATCTCATACATAAAAAAAAAATCGTGTAACTTTGCACTTTCTTCTTGCTGCTTCTGAACATTTCTCTCTTGTGTCTTCTAATTTGAACATTTTAAATTTAAAATGTAAATGTTGATGCTCTTCTAGAGGGGAAAGCATGAGAGATTTGTTTTTATTATTATTGTGTATCTGAGGCGCTTGAATCAGGCAAATATTTTGTCTATATCTGTATTTGGTAGTTGGTTGTGCTTTCCTGTGAACTTGAAACTTTGCCAGCATTTATAATGGGTTCATGTCCTTATATTTTCTTACTCTTCTAAGCTAATAGTTTAGAGAAAGTCACCTATTAGTTTCATTTTACAATTGAAATCATATCTACATAATAGTAATTTCAAACTTTTGGAGTAATTGATAGAAATGGTGCATGAATCTTGTAACCCAAGCATATGCAAACGTTTACTTGGCTAAGATGATGATACGATCTGGTTCATCCCATCGAGGCCTACATGTAGTCAAGTTTTAATGTTAGTACTGGTAGAATTTTGGGTCAAGACTTTTAACACAATATTGGGAGTAAATCCATTAAATGGTGTTTAACATAGGCCTAGATAAGCAACATCTTATTTAAGCATATTTCATAAGTCTAGGCTAGTGAAAAATGGACAACGTAATTTGACCTTGGACAACAGGTAGGAAGAAGGAACAAAAATTTCTGAGAAATTCTTCAGTATAGAAGACATATCTTCCCTTTTTCTTCTGAAACAGTGAGTAGTAGCTTTTTTTATTTTCTTATAATTGCCCTTTTCAGACACTAAAATTTTACCCCTGCCTTTTTACTAATTTAATGCTTATTAATATTATGCTTTTACATAGCAGTTTGTTTCTAATGAAAATGCTTATTTTTTTTTTTTTTTTTTTTTTTTTTTTTTTTTTTTTTTTTTTTTTTTTTTATACTGTGAATGCACTGTACTGGAATAAAGTAAAACTCTAATTTTTCAATCTTTTATGCATAGACTTTTGGATTGTAATGGATAAGTATTCATTAATTTTTAATGTAAAATTGTATTTTTTAAATTGATTTACATGAAATTTTTGGAAGGAACAATGAGCAATTTTTTTTTCACAAAGTATGTGAAATATTAAAATAATTATTTAAATAAATAGGGCTGTAGAATTATTGTGATGTATAGGTTTCAAGACACAATCACTACTTCACTAAAACATTGAAGAAAACAAAATAGTGTGTTCTTTAGTGGGAGCATATTAATATTTGCTAATTTCAGTTAAATACAACTATTGATTCGGTGCAAAAAAAAGTGGGTAAAAACTAAATAAATACACTAAGGGAGTCATAGAGAGTTCTTTGTAGATTTGACTAAAGAGAGTAGATTTGACTAAAGTGGTATGTTGTTAGGCAAGGAAATAAATGAGAGGACTGAGAAATTTTGAGATATACACAATGAAGGCACCCAAATATTTATACTGAAGCCAGTACTCCTGCTGGTACTCTGCTTGCAAACTTCAGAACAATTTTTAAATACATGGACGGAGAGATAAATATGAAAGAAATTACACCTGGTTTACTGCCACCTCTCCTAGCGCAGTGATCTCTCCTTGTTCTATTGTGAAGACCTCCTGGAACCTCTTGTTGAGTTCTTCACACACCTCTTTGTCATTTTCTGTGTACATGTCCTCACCCGTTATAAGTTTCATCACCTGTTCCTTCACTGTTGTTTTCCTCCTGATGTGACTGTGTAGTAGCTTTGGTTCGGTCTTGGCTTTATTAGCTATATCTTTTCATACTTTTTCTCGGCTTCTCTTCTCACACTAATGTACTCGTTCCTGGTTCTCTGGTATCTCTTTCTACTGTCTGTTCTTCTGTTATTTCGGAAGTTCCTCCACGCCCTTTTGTTCAGTTCCTTTGCTTTCATACATGCCCTATTAAACCACAGATTCTTCTTTTGCTTCTCGGTTTTTCCTGTCGGACTGGGATAAACCTGTTTGCTGTCTCCTGTTACTTTTGGGTGACATAGTCCATCATGTCTTGTACGGAATTAGTTATGAGTTCTGTGTCCCATGGTATATCCCATAGGAATTTTCTCATCTCATAATTTCCCTTTCGGTACACCAGCCCTTTGTTTCCCAGTTCTTTTTTGGGGGAGATAATTCCTAGCTCTACCAGGTACTCAAAGATCAATACACTGTGATCACTCATTCCCAAGGGGGCTTCCAACTTTACTTCCCTTATATCCGACTCATTTTGGGTAAATATCAGATCAAGCATTGCTGGTTCATCCTCTCTTCTCATTCTTGTCAGTCCCTTGATGTGTTGGCTTAGAAAGTTTCTTGTTGCTATGTCCAGCAGCTTAGCTCTCCATGTGTCCGGTCCTCCATGTGGGTCTGTGTTCTCCCGAGCTATCTTCATGTGGTTGACGTCTTCCATGATTAGTAGCCTGGGTCCGATCCTGCTAGCTACAGAAGCTGCTCTCTATTATATTGATACATATATATATGGCCATGTTGTTTCTATCGTATTCCTGTCTGGGTCTTCTGTCGTTTGGTGGGGGGTTATATATGACTACTACTATAATTTTTTGTCATCCAATTGCTATGGTACCTGTTATGTAGTCACTGAAATCTTCACAGCTCTGAACAACCATCTCTTCAAAACTCCATCCTTTTCTTATCAGCAAAGCTACACCACCACCACCACCTCTTCCTTCTCTCTCTTTCCTCACTACATAGTAGTTCTGTGGAAACACTGCATTTGTTATGGTTTTCGTTAGCTTTCTTTCCGTGAGTGCTATTATGTCTGGATTTTCTTTTAGTTCCCATTCTCCAAGTTCACTTGTTTTATTCGTAATCCCACCTGTGTATGTGTGTTTATCTATATCATATATATTAATATTTTAATATTTTAATAATTTATGGACAATTCTTTTCTGGATCCTTCTATCATTTAATTAGGAGTATAGGTAGATTAAGATATGAGGGTTTTTCTTTGCTTATTTTCTTTTTTTTCATGTGCTGCTCCTTCATTTATGGACATTGTTTTCATACACATCTTTTTTAATAACTTGATGCTTTGAATCCCTTACATCCAGTCAATAAAGGCAATATTTCCCTAACATAGTCAAGTGCAGGGCCTGTATAATAAATATGAGCATGCATTATCTTTGGTTATAAATACTAGCAAAGTAGTCAAATGAAGTGCTTTCTGTCTTATATACATTTTGTATTTTTCCATTCCTGAATAATTGAAGACATCCCTCATTGATAGTACCTGTTAACAATATTACTGATATTGAATGATGCTTTAATTGTTAATATTACTTTTTTTTTAAACATGTTTGCAGTATATTAAGTTCAAGTAATTATGTACAATATTTATCTATATTCTGTGTATTTATCATGTGATGCTTTGTGCTCTCTTGAAGTTTTTTTTCTGATTAGCTTCATATAGAACCTCCCAGTCCTTAGCAGGGATAACTTGTAATTTTCAGTTTATTATTATTTTCTTCTGTTTTTTTCATTTTCCCATCAAGTATTTTGAGAACACCTTTACATAATAACTTGGAACATCATGACGTTTAAAGAAAAATTCCTTTTATAATTGAGCCATGTAGCCCTTAGTAACTGATTTAAGAATGAAATTTAATCTTTGTTAGGGGAGATATGACTTGGTAATGTTTTGACAATGAATAAGTGTAACATCAAAATTTGTACATACATCATGGCCTGGTTCACAGGAATGCTCCTAGTAGTCTCAGTTTAAATTGTTGCCCAAGAGGGTTGTGCAATGAAGTATTTTTTAAGTGTAGATATGATAAGGACAACAAAGTAAAAATATGAATTGAAGCTATTTGCTAATTTGGGTAGGAATTGACAAACTCAGTAAAGAAGACATAACTAAGAAAGTGGTTGGAGTAAGAACGGAGATAAGGAGTGTGTCGAAGAACCATGTTAGAAATTTCCTAAGGTCCACCTAGCTTTTCTTAGGAACTTTGCAACTACCAGCTGGTCCATAATAACAAGCTCGTTTTGTAAAGTGCAAATGGGACCACTTTTCATCATCAGATCTTATAATCGTTTTCCAGATGTTGACAGCACTATAGCTACAGCTATTGTAGTAGTGACTGACAGCACTGTCAGTCCAGTCTGCTAGGCCAGGCAGGCACACCTGCAATAAATCTTCTGTTTTTATTGCTCTCCATGTGACTCATGGGAATCTTTAGAACAGCTTCATGGTAAAGCTGCTTTTTGAAAATTGTCAACCACTTGTATTAGACTAGTTTTATGTTCTTCGTACTGATAATCCTCTTGAATCTAATTTAGAGATAATATGACAGGACCTTCTTTTATATACAGAATAGTTGGAGCTGAAATTAAGCAGAGGTGGGATTTGAAAGATTCGTAAAATACTGTAGTGTGAACCTTCCCTGCCTTATTTACATGTGGAAGAGAATTTTTCAGTGGACGTCTCTGATTTTGCTTGTATGGTTATTAATATGCGTTCAGTTTAAGAAGTTCAAGTTCCTCATAACTTTCGTGAAGTCTGTATATTATGTTGTCAGTTTGCTTGTGTTCTAATGTACCCGAGACTGTATCATTGTTGTTCAGCAGTTGCTAAAGGGAAAATCTTCATGCTCTAATCCCATGTTGTGCTAAGTTATGCAGATGTTGTGACTACAGGTATTTTGCATACACTTCTTCTTCATAAATACATTATCATTACCTTGCTCTCCACCTGTATGAGGTTGTGAGATATGAACCTAAGAAAAAATATAGTAATGTATTGAAATAAGGTTTGAGATATATACGGGTATTCAAATATCACTTGGGCATTTGATTCTCGAGTTAGTGTGTGTAGCATCATAGTAAACAACCACCACCACACTCCAACAGTACTGTTATCCATAGCAGCAGGGTTTGGTTGTTTTATGCTAGTGCTTTATATCTATAGTTGCTTAAAATTTCTTTACTACCAAATTTATTTGGAGCTATGTAAATAATTAAGAGTTTTTTTTTCAGGAAGTAACGTTATATAAAGATGGGGGACCATTAGGCTTAAGCATTATCGGAGGTTCAGACCATTTCTGTGTTCCATTTGGCATCTCGCCAGATGACCCAGGAATATACATATCAAAAGTAAGTTTGCAGTAGTCATGCACTTGGATTTATCTATGTATAGTGTGTGTGCGTCATGTCCCATCTTTTCCCTCTTTCTTCCAAAATATTTGTTAACTTGTATATTTTTTTAGCCCTCTTCTTGTTTATCATCTTTCTATTCTGGTACCATTTTGTTATATACCTATACACTCATTATAATTTTTCATTATAATTTATTCAGTATGTATAAAATAGTAACAGGAATTGTTAAGATTGTCAAGGAAAAATTCTTGAAAACTGCAGCTCAGGAACACAAGGTCATAAATTCAAACTAAGGAAGTAAAGCAGCTGAAAAAAGCATTAGAAAGTTCACGTTTGCAAATAGTGGTAGTGAGTTGGAATAAGTTTTAGCGAGGTGATGGTGGAAGCCAAAATCGTGAGTAGTTTCTAATTGTCATATGGTAAAGAGTATTTGGAAGACAGGACACCACGACCATAGCTCTCATCCTGTAACTACACTTATGTAATTACACTAGTGATTTCATCAGCCCATACTAATTACACAACCCTGATTCGATTGAGAATTATACCCAACTGGGGATGCCTTTCACAATGACACACCCTGTAGTTTACATGCAGTCAATACAGGGAGTTGTTGGACTTCCACAACCCAGCCAGGGGGTCAGACTTGTCTTGTGTTGACTTGATCTGAGAGGCTATTGCTTGGAGAAGGCTGTAGGCTCGCATTTCTGTTACAGTCCGGCTGATCCGCCACATCCATTAAGTACTAATGTGATAAAATTATATCTAATTTTGATTATAACAGTACTATTCTTTATTATATAATTTTTTTAAACCTTTGTAGATAACTGCAGGAGGAGCAGCACATAAAACTGGAAAACTTCGAATGGGTGATCGTATTCTCTCGGTTAATGGCACAGACATGTCAGGCGCTTCACATCAAGAAGCTGTTCTGGCACTTCTTAATCCTCCTGATGAAATCATACTTTCAATTCGACATGATCCGCAGCCTAAAGGACTCAAGGTAAGTAGTATTGCACAAGTCAATACAGTATTCCCTTAGTCTTGTAAAAAAATATATTTGTGAGCAGGGGTTGTAATATCTGTTAACTTTCAGAAAGATTCATATTGCAACCCATCCTCTTGCTAAGATAGTACAGTACCTGTTACTACAGTAGGGCATAAATATACTAATATGGATTTATGAATATAAAAAAAGTCCACAGTTTGTCTTACTGGCATAAATGAAAACAAAAACATTATTTTCCTGCCTTTATTTTATATCTTAGTTTTCTTTTCAAGTTGCCAGCAGGACCAATGTTGACTTGTGTCCTTCTATATAATACATGTATAGTGGAGCAGATATCTATATATAGGTAGCTGATTATGGTGTGGCTTAACAACTCGAGCCATCTTACTTTTTCCACCTGCAGTGATACATTTTGAAACTTTTTGATGGAGAGAATATTCCAAAATAACAGTTCATCTCTGAAAGTTGTGTAGCTCAGATATTGCTTCTGCTGCTGCCACCACCCTATTTCTTCTTTTTAGAAATATATAAGAAACCAAGAGTATAGATAGAGAACTTGACCTACCATTCATTTATTTGCAATCCTGTGTCACTGTTAGCAAATATAATCAAGTATGTACACTTTTATGTATGTCTAGTCTTTCCACTCATGAGAAAGTGGCAATGTTTTATTGCAAGTTTAAGATGCTGTTTTATTATTATACGTGTTCATATATTTTTTATGGCATGTTGAGAAATGCAGAAATTAGTTTATTAATTTCTACATGTTTGTATGTCAAAGAGTATGGGTATAAATAATAAAGAACTGGTTTCCCATTGTTGGAGATGGGAAGCCTGTTAGGCTTATTGAGATTCCCCTAGCTAACAACTAGCCATCTCCAGGATGTAACTCTCAATACAGCAGTTGACTATCTCCTGGGTACTATTTGCTGCTAGGTGAACAGAGGCATTAGGTGTAAGGTAAAATGGCCAAATGATCATCTTGCCAGGCAATTGAAGTCAAAACCAATCAGTTTTGCGCTGACTGCACTAACCACCGGCTTAATATGCAGTGCATGTTTTGAAGTTCAGTATCATGGTATAAATTACTATAATATATTACTGTCTTTACATATAAAACTTATAAAAGTAATACTAACATAACCATTTCATGAGTACTAACTAAACTTACGGGTGAATTACCAGCTGTTGCTATATTACCAAGGTTAATGGGAATGAGTATGATAGCTGAATATTAAAGGTGAATGTGAGGAGCTAGTTCAACCTCAAAAGAAAATAAACTAAAAGTTGGTATTAGTTTACAGAAGGCTTTAAAATATTGAATACTTTACTTAAGATTTACACCAGAATATAATTTAAAGTACATTTGAGTTTGCATATTTATGTTTGCCATAAACTTTGGCCAATGTACTGTTAGCTTCATGGTTCTTTGTCAAACAAAGCAAATGACAGTACAGTACAACCTCAATTCAACTAACTATATGGCACCAACCCCAGTACATTGCAGTGAGGGATTTGTTGCAACTGTTATGCCTCCAGGATGCACTTCCTAGGACTTACGGGTTAATTTCACTTGGCGTAATTATAATTTCTACCTATAATGGACAATTACCAAATGAACATGCCTGCAAAAAAAAAAAAAAAAAAAAAAACACATCTAGCTTATTTCTCGTGTTCACAGCATCAAAACTCGTTTCAAATGGAAGCAGTGCCATACCTGTGTCAACTAAAATTAGAATTTAGTTTTAAATATCCTCAATAGCTTCTCCAAGACTCCAACTGTTTCTTGTAATGTTGATGCAATCTACAAAAATTATAAAATGTGACTGGAGCCATATTAAGTGTTACCATTCATACCTGATATTTTCCCCATGCTCTATGGGCTGATTTCAGAGCAAAATTATAATTTCAACTTGTCATATGAAGGGGAACAACCAAGAGAATATGTAAAGAGATTTAACATTCAGCATATTTCCCATGATCATGCCTTGAAATGTCATTTCCAAAGAAAAAAGGGCCCATATTTTACCGAACAAAAACCTCTGCAAATGGAAATAAAATAGGACCAAATTTGGTTTTAAATATTTTCAGTGACTTTCTCAAGGCCCCAACTATTTCTTATAATATTGCCTCCATCTGTGAATTAGGTCCCAACATCCTTAGCAAACCCACACATTCCCTGCGTCAGTGAACTCTTGTTCGTCAAATGGGTGAGTAAATCTGGCATGAAAGTGTGTGTTCTAATGGTAATTTGCCTAATCAAGGTTTGCTGAATTGAGGTTCCACTGTAAGCAGTAATCATCAGTAATAAATAACTGTACAAACAAAATGAAATGAGTAAAAACCCTCATATGTGCTTGTAGTACAACTTATATTTAGAAAATAAATAAATTATTAAATATACTGGAATGAGTGTCTTGAAGTTTAGCTATTTTGTTTTATTTCTGTCTTGTGAGATGCAGTAATAGCAAAGGGAGGTGTTTAGTGTGACTAAAGGGATACTGTACAATGACACTAAAACCAAGTTGTCCTATTTTCAAACATGTCATTTTGCACTATATGTGAGATAAAGCAAAATTTGCATGTTAGGTGCGTTTGAACGTCATGTACTTTGAGTTGCGTATTGTAGGCTCTGTAGAAGAAAAGACAAGTGCTCAAAGATTTAAAAGTGCCAGGATGTAAGGCTGAGTCAGCCACCAAGGAGCCAGAATGATCACCATGAGAGCCTCATGATCAGGTAACAATTCCACATTGGATGGAAGCCGCTGGTTCAAAGCCTTTGCAAAGAGGTCCATCTTGGGAAGTCTGAATGTCTTGCAGAACCAATGGAAGGATATGTTGTGAACAGTCCACTCTATGGAAATGGGATAGAAATGAAGAGACTATCCATGAGAAAGCCGCACACACCCCACATGTGAACAGTGCAGATAGCAAAACAGAGAATCCAGAAGATGAGCTACTCTCAGAATTCAGTTTTAAAGAGAAAAGGACTGAAGTGACCCCCCCCCCCCCTCCTTCCACGATTCAGATAGTGAACTACTTATCTTGGTGGGAGACAAACTACAGAGCAAAGGAGCAAACCATGAAAACCCCACTGATGGTTAGGTGGGGGAATGTTTGCATGCCTTTCGCTTGTTTTGGGCCTTGGTTTTCTTGGCATTGCAGGTAATGTTTCATTATCTGCTTTGGGATTTCATTTTCTAATCATCTCATAAGTTCTTTTAGCATGGGACAGCCATCTTCTCCACTTTGACAAGCCCACATTTTTGGAGGCATTAGCCTGCATGATTTTCATGATGCATTCACTAGTTCATTCCTCTGTGTTTCTGATAATGGAGAGACTTTCATGAAGAGGGATGATTATCAGCCTTTTGAGAGTCGACGTCCATTTCCCTTAAACTTTCAGATGATCACCATACCTGTGGTTCACCAGGTGGTTTGAATTGGTCTTGACTCATGTCTTTAGAACTTTTGGATGCCTTCTGGCATATTTCTGTTCATCAGAAATTTTGGAACTGGCTAGAATTTTGGGGCAGTAGCACCTTGTATCACTTTTGGCCTGAATTTGGCTCCCAGGATCATTTGGGTTTCCATTTATCCTATTATAGTAATATGTTGCCCTGGGATTGTGTTGGCTGTGTTGATCTCATTTTGACTTTCTCATCAATGAGCTAAAATCTCGGCTCCGGTCATTTCAAAATCTCTCTTGTTGGGCCTGGTACAGGATACCAGGCAACCAGCTTATCTTGCCCATAGGCAGCTGTCTTTTGGGTAGCTTGTGCTTAGGAGGTTTTGCTTGTCATGTCAAGAGATTGAGATCTTCCTTGACCAGGCCAACTTGCCTGTGTGGTGTATCCCTACAAGCTGTGTTCTGGCTGAAAGGTTTGGTTTAGGGCCTCTGGCCCTGAACAGGTTTCTCCAAATCATGTTTATGGGTTCATGGTTCAGGGTTCCCTGTTCAGGGTTCCCCACATGCAGGCTCCCTGGGTCTTGTGGGATCTCCTTCAGAGGATTCTTCTGGAAGTTTTTCAGGCTTTATTTCCCTTGGAAGTTTTCAACTCCCTACCTTGAATTTTTTACCAGTATATCTTTGGTTGACTGGAGCTGTCTCCACTCTTGAGCATTTATTATGCTGGTGAAGGACATTGTTCTATGACATTGTTGCAGTCACCTGTCAACATTGAGGAAACATCAGAGATCATTAGAGTCTTGCTTTAAGGTTCGAGTGAGTGTACTGCTCACAAAAGTGTTCTTCTCATATGCATTCTCAGCCAGATTTGTTTTATTTTTTGTATTTAAAAGAAAATGTTGAATGTGGCACATTTGGTACTAATGTCATGTTTGAATGTAAGGACTTTAATTATTTTTTAAATACTTATTTATCAAAAGTTAAAAGCATTTTCAATATTGATTCTCATTTCAATTCTTCCATTCCTATAATGAATAGTCTTGCTTCACACAGTTTTGTTTATTACATTAAAATGCTTTGAAATAGTGTACCTACTTCTGGGCTTATTCTCAATTCTTCAACTTTGTAATTTGTTTATTTCTTTAGATCCTTTCTGCGAGTCACGAGCTTTCTGTCCATGTGAGTAAAATGAATTGTGGGTGTGTTAGATGTGTGTGTGGAAACATCTCACTTCTCCACACACGTGAAATGTTTGTTACCTGTGTGTAAATTATTGGGTTGTCTTCGTTCTAGTTGTTCTATTGTTCCATCCTTACAGTGACGGGGCCCCTAGGCACAGGCACCTTTTGGCCCTTCCTCATTGTTTATTACTGTATAATGCAAATAATGTCAGGCATCAGAATTACAATAAAAGATTATTGTACAGTAATATTTTATTTAAATTCATTATTTTCTTTTTGAAAAGAAACACTGGTATTTTTAGAGTTAATTGATTGTTTTATTAAATTTTTTGTTTTCAATAAAATTGTCCTGCCTATATAACAATCAACCTGTGGGGCGAGGTGCCCCTAAGCTTGGGGGCCCTAGGCACATGCTTACTATGACTGTTGGGTAATCCGGCACTGCATCCTTCACAGCAAGGAGTGGTAAAGTTTGCATTTTATCCTTCTGTGTATCTGTGATATAACGTTTGCTCTACTCACCTTTGTTAATCTAAATGTGTCTTATTTAGGAGTCTCATTAGTTTCAATTTTTGTGCTGCGGTAGATAGCTTTGATTGTAACTAATTGTCTGTTATATACTCCAAGTAAATTAACATAATTTGTTTTAATGGCTATTTAAAAATTTTAGAACCCATATTAATGAGCATGTCATTACAAAGATTGCGAATCCCCATATTCCCGAGTCTTGCTATCATTTAGGAATCAATGTTTAAATTTTCTCATTGTTAAGTGAATAGCCTTCATATTCTGTATGAATAAATCATTGAAGACTAAGTTTTCATTTCACAATTGACAGTCTTCCAATATTAATAAAGTGAACTGAGTTTGCTAAAAAACACACATCTCTAAACAGTGCATCTGCATATATACAAGCGCCTGTAAACTTGATCACATGTGGAAGCATCGCCATGGAGAAGTAAAATTGGTAACCCTTCCCTTCGTGGTTTACTTCTTTAGATTCCTTTTGTCGATTACCTATTTATCATTGTAACTTTTGTATTGTTGTAATATTCTGTTAGCATTTTCATTACTACTATTTAACTTGCTTGCTGAGGCAGTTGTCATTATTGAACTTCCACAGTTTTGTTTGTCATTGCAGTCATGCTTGGAACATTTTTTTCAAATGTTTGACATTTCAGGTGATTTAAATGTGTGAATACAGGGGTTCATCTAACTTACAAACATACAATCTAACGATTGGCTTTAAAGTTACCATTTAGGCCTTTTGTCCTGCTATGTTAACGATTTCCAAAGTCCACATATGATGTACAGTGCTACTATTTCACTATTTGAGTTTTTTATACGTGAAAATTTACTCAAAATGGCCAAAAAATTGTGCTGGTGCACCAAAGCTCATGCCTTCTCACTTTTTTATTAACTAGTCATCAAGTAATTATACCTCTTCTTTTCAAATATATCAATTCAGACAAGCAGGACAATTTCGACAATCAGAATAAATAACGATGTTATTTATTTATTTTATTCTCTTTGCGAAGAGGGAGAACGGCCTATTGACATAGCCGGTCAGCCGAGCGGACAGCACGCTCGACTTGTGATCCTGTGGTCCTGGGTTCGATCCCAGGCGCCAACGAGAAACAATGGGCAGAGTTTCTTCCACCCTATGCCCCTGTTACCTAGCAGTAGAATAGGTACCTGGGTGTTAGTCAGCTGTCACGGGCTGCTTCCTGGGGGTGGAGGCCTGGTCGAGGACCGGGCCGTGGGGACACTAAAAAAGCCCCGAAACTATCTCAACATAACCTCAAGATAGCTCGGGTGCAGGGGGGAGTTGTGTAAAATCCCGATTTGTGCCTCGGAGAGGCTACGGGATCCAGGGATCCAGTAAGTTCAGTAGAACTTCGGTTTCAACTCTTTTTAACCCTGTCGTAGCTCAGTCGATTAAGGTAGTGTCTGGGATGCTCCCGGACGCAGGTTCGAATCCTCGTCACGGCCCTTGTGGATTTGTTCATTGAATACAGTATTTAATGGTTTGTTATTGCATGTGTGTTTATTAACAGTACCATAGTATAAATGTGGGTAGTTTCTCCTTTCAGAAATTAGCCTTAGGTTGCAAAGTTGGTTCAGACAATCATATGTAACTATATTCTTAGTTAATGAATACATTAACTGTTCAGTTAATTGAGATTTAAATTGTCTTATGTCTTACAACTATTATAAGATAATACCCTATTTTTGTGAGTAAACAAAGATGTTTTCATGTTTTAAGTGTGTCCAAATATATAATTTTTAATACCAAGGAATGCATGTTCGGTAACTATTCTATTGTTATTGGTTATTAAGAATTTAGTTTACCAGTTAATAAAATTATATTATTTTTATACAGTATTAATCCATTTATCTTTAACCCCTGCACTGCGCATCTGTTTTTGACAAAAACTTCAAAGTGCAATTGTTAAAGACACAGTTTTGTTGTTTTTATAAATATTCTGGTAAAGTTAATGTCAAAATGTTTCCAAACTCGACTATTTTCATTTCAAAACACAGTGATGAAAACATTAAACAATATTAAAATATAGCCTAATTAAAAAAAAAAATGGACAACTCCCAAAATGACTTGTTGGCTGGCGCAGTTGAGGGGTTAACAATGACACAGTATGGCATAACAAAAATTTATTGTAAATATGTTTGTGTTGTCGAAGTGTGGTGAACTCCTGATATGGAGATTGAACACTTTTGTGCAGAAAAGAAAAAGTGTAGAAGGATTAAGTGGTATAGTTTTAGATTAATGGTATCATTGTTGTTGCTTTTATTATTATAAACATACATTAACATTAACTCATTTTCCACATGCATAGGAATCAACCCAGCAAAATAATCCATTTAGAGTAGCTTACAATTTTATTAAGAGTGAATGTGAACAATAGTAGTATTGTGGCGGTGAAAAGGAAATTCTGTAAGAAATTAATACAAAGGGTAAAGTGGTGGAAATGGTAAGTTAGTATAAATATCCGGGATGCATGATTGTTAGAGATTTTGTGCCACTGAAGTTGAGAGGGAAAGGTGGCTGGTTCAGCGACTGCCGTCATTACGAAAAACATAATATGAATAAATGCAGCAAAAAGGTCTGCAATGTGGTGGAATCAGTGGGAACTCTTTATAGATTGTTCAGACATGCCAGTACTTGTGTTGTAAGGACCTGAAAATTGAGAATTTGAACTATATAAATCGACAATCTAGGAGGCATATATGGCATTTGGAGAATTGAGTAAGGAATTGGAATGTCATGGAGAGATTTGGAATGCAGAATTCAATAACATCTATAACCCCCCCCCCCTCTTCTGATATCATACAGAATGTCATCCAGTCAGACAGTGCATGATTCTGTCTTCTTAACACAGCATATCTTGCCTTAGGAAGCAACCAAGTGATTTGCTTAGAAGTGCACAATTTATATTTACTCAAAGCCTTACTTTTTACTATTTAAAAAATTCCCTAAGTGAGTCCATTCACACCTGGACTTAATGCTCAGCTTTAGGCTGCTCAAATTTTCAAGGATGTAACACTGTGCATAAAACTATAGCTATTTTTTATGAATCTGGTGAATATAATTGAACTTTGCAGCTAGGAGACTGTGGTGCTAAACCTCATTCTCTATCATCCTTCTCTTAAGTGTTCATATTGCTTATTTTGCTATATATATTTCTCTAATATGTACTACAGTTAATTTTATTTGCTTGAATACAGTGTTCATTTGTCTGATATCCAAAACAGATGTTATCTGATAAACTTTTGCTGAAATCTCATAATATTGCATTATGCAGGTAGTTGTGTATTAATGTTTCTATATTTGTTAATGCTATTTGTTGAAATTATCCCTTAAGCTTTACATGTGTAATTAAAAAGATGAGTTAAAACTTTTATGATTTTTTATTCTTACATTCTTGCATATGTAAGAATATTAATTAATATTAGACAGTATAATAAATATCCTGTTACTGTCATATATCCATGACTGTCATTACTACCTAGCAGTTATTATAAGAATGCTTTTCATGACTCAAAATTGTTGTCAACAGGAAGTAATCATCAAGAAGTTAGTCGGTGAAAGACTTGGGATGAACATCAAAGGTGGTGTTCAGGGATCTCCGGGAAACCCCCTCGACAAGTCGGATGAGGGTGTCTTTATATCTAAAATTAATTCCAATGGGGCAGTTCACAGAGATGGTAGACTGAAGGTAAATTTGTTTAAGCTTGCTCAGTTTTAAGAGGTTGAATATATTTGTATACATTTGCTTGATATGGTAAGAGTATTTGAGGTGATGAGATGAGAAAGTTTATACAATACAGCATTTTATTCCGCTATTTCTTAAATTTAATTGTTTCTTTTTAATAGAAGTTCAAAATATAAAATATAAATTTCACAATTTTATTTACTGGTGAGTGGAGGTAGAGTATTTTCCAAGATTGCTATAATTAATTCTTCTTCTTCTGTATGTTCCATTTGTTTCTGAGCTTTTTCATTTGACTGCTTTCTCATTCATCAAAAATCCCACTGTATCCTTTGGCATCAGATGAAGGAATCAGGCAAGAACAATATACATTATAATATCTCCCTCGTAACTGTACTGTTCTTCTTGTCTCTATTTTCCCTCTGACAAACTTCATTACTTTGCATTTTGGGAGATTCAATTCTAGTACTTATTGGTTGTCCCATTCCTACAAAACTTTACATGTAAAATCCTATCTGCTCTGGAAGGTCATTTACATGTGAGGGACACAATTGTCCAAGCAGGGTCACTCTTGCCTACACCCTGATGTTTACAAGCCAATAGCAGACAGCAACAGATATTATCAATATATTCCAGCTCTGCAGGAAGGGCTTTACTAGTGGGAGACAAATATAGATTTACTGTACGTTTGATACTGCACATCCTCTTACTTGTCAGCTTGTTTTAATTGTTAGTGCTAGCTTATTGGATAAGCACTTGATAAATTAGCCTCAATCTTTACAGAATGCATATTTAAAAGAAAATTAGATAGCATATATTACCTCATTAAAAAATAAATATTTAGAAAGCACATGGACTCCTTATTTTTATTTAATTTTTTCCATCTAGGTTGGTCAAAGAGTGTTAGAAGTAAATGAACATTCTTTGCTGGGGATTACTCATGAAGAAGCTGTAAATGTTATGCGTACTGCGGGTTCCACTATCAGACTTGTTGTGTGCGATGGCTACGATTACCATTTGGTAAGTTATAATAGTATTTGTTACTGTGATGCCCTTTAAGGTTTAGCAGTGCAATACACTGTCATGTACTTCTTTGCTTTCTTTCTGTATTGTTTCATAAATGTACAGTAAATTTTAAATCATAACACATGAAGAAATGTATATATTTTTAGTTCGTTATCAATATGAACATGTGTGCGCGTGTACTCATCTTGCCTATTTGTACTCGCCTATTTGTGCCTGCAGGATCGAGCACTGGCTCTTGGATCCAACCTTTCTAACTACCAGTTGTTTAAAGCAGTGACTCCTGTCCTTTTTCCCAATCATATCTAGTTTTAAAATTATGAAGCGTTTGCTTCTATAACCTGCTCCTTTAGTTCATTCCATTTTCACACTACTCTCACATGAATAGAAAACTTTCCAACATCCCTGTGACTCATTCTGTTGGTATTTAGTGTTAACATTTTGTCTTTCCACTGTCAATCCCTCCAAGTATTTTATAAGTTTCTATCATATCTTCCCGCTCCCTCCATGTTTCCGTCGTCGTCAGGTTCAATTCCTTCAATTGCTCCTCATACCCCATCCCTCGCAGCTCTGGGACAAGCCTCATCACAAACTTCTGAAATTTTTCCAGGTTCTTTGTGTGTTCTTTCAGTTGTGGGGCTCCATGATGTGGTGGCATACTCAAGTCTCATGGCATATCACATAGGCAGTGTAAAGTGCAATAAAGGCATCCTTACTGAGGTTTCTGAATGATGATCTAACTTTTGCTAGCATAGAGTACACTGCTGTCGTTATCCTATTTATGTGTGACTCAGGAATTCAATTTGATGTTATGTCCACTCTCGGGTATCTTTCTTGAATTGTCACATGTAGGTAGTTTTCCTTCAATGTGTACTGTCCCTTTGGTCTCCTGTCACCTAGTCCTATTTCCATAATTTAACACTTGCTCCCAGTTAGCTTCAGGGAGCCACCAAGGGGCTCCCCAGAAAGTCAGCATTAAATGTAATGAAATGCTCTTTCTGGTTGAGTCTCAGTGGCTCCCTGATTCCCTCCCTCCCTCCCTCCCTCCCAGATGGCCCATCAGCAATGGGCTGAATGTGGGATATGGGACGCCAGCTTGGCCATCAGCTGGCAGATTGGCTCGTACTCATTAGGGTAGTTATTTCTTACCCAGTTTCATAATAATCATTTCGTTTTTGAGTTTCTTTTGTGGTGTCTGTCGACTGGTTTGCTTTGTTTTCATGAACCAAGCAGTTGTTTTGTATTTCATCTGCTTTCTTGGTGAGGGTGATCATTACAATCCCCAGCTCCCTGTTCCTCTGTGAGGTGGCCAGGTTCTGGCTTTGATCTGCAGTAAGCCAATACATCTTATGACTGAATTGGCAGCATACCTTCAGGAAGCACTGAGGCTCACTCGGAAACGGGCGTTTCATTACATTCAATGCTGGTATTTTCTCTGGGGTGATAGTTAACCTTTCAGCTGTGCATCACATAGGTGGTGAGGTGACTAATTATGCTCAGTGTATGCATTCCATCAGGGGAAGTATTAGGGTGCAGCACAAGACTTTAACATTTCTGCGGGTACACGGGGCTCACATTGGCCCTCTCAGGCATTATGCATCTTGAAATGACCTCGTGCTCCTTTACAAAATAAATGTGTTCAAGATTATTCATATTTAGGATTTACTGACCAAGATGCTGATAATAATAGCAACATTGTGCCTATAATTAGCAATTTACATAGTATATTGTGATGCTTTTTGCTTCATCATATTGTTATCCGTTGGGATGGTCAGGCAGTAGTGCATGTGTACAAAACGCAGTCAAATCATAGCATTGAACAAAAAGGCAATGTAAAGGATTAAGGTGTACTCATGTCGGAAGACCTTACCTTTAAAGAACACAATAAAGTAGCTGTTACATCTGCAAGAAAAATGACAGGTTGAATAACAAGAACCTTTCACACCAAGGATGCTATACCAATGATGATACTTTTCAAGACACTAGTACTCTCTAGAGGGGAATACTATTGCACAATGACAGCCCCTTTCAAACCTGGAGAAATTGCTGACCTGGAGAGTGTGTGTAGAGATCCTTAACTGCTAGAATCAACTTGGTAAAACTAAACTATTGGAACCGACTAAAATGCCTAAATCTGTATTTTCTTGAGCACAGGCGGGAGAGATACATAATAATTTTCACATTGAAAATTGTAGAGGGGCTGGTCCCAAACCTGAACACAGAAATAACACCACGAGACCAGAAGGCATGGCAGGATGTGCAAAATACCCCCGTTGAAAAGCAGAGGTGCAATAGGTACTCTGAGAGAGAGAGAGAGAGAGAGAGAGAGAGAGAGCTCTATCAACATCAGAGGCCTGAGACTGTTCAACACCCTTCCACCACACATAAGGGGCTTAGATGGACCTCCCCTCAGTGTTCAAGAGAAAACTTGATAAGCACCTCCAATGGATACCTGATCAACCAGGCTGTGACTCATATGTCAGGTTGCGAGCTGCCACATCCAACAGCCTGGCTGATCAGTCCAGCATGATATCGTTCGCCTAATGCGTTTCTGCTCTCGTATTGGCATTCTTGGTGATATTTAGTGCCCTCTGATTATTTCACACTTTGATGGTGCTACATAGCCTTCCCGGTTTGGTGCCTTCTTTTGATAATTACTTACTGATCAGTCCAGCAATGAGGAGGCCTGGTTGAGGACCAGGCTGCGGAGATGCTCACAGATGTGGTGTTCTATTATTGCTGACCTTTTTTCTAATGGCTGAGCTTATAATGTGAATGCCTGTGTTCAGTTGTTTAAGGGGAACCAAGTCATGTTTATAGATAACTGTTTTTAGATTGATATTTCTTTGATATAACCTGTATAACATAAGCATGGTTACTAAAATTTAATTAAAAGATAATGCTAATGAAGATTAGTTTCACATAAAATGTTTGCAAATATGATACAACTAGGATGATAGTACAATGCTGTATTTTAACACTGCTTCTTCTAATTGAATTAACAGGATAGTATTCATATATTTTATTACTTCTTGTTTATGGTTGTTATATGAATATCACAGGGTAAATTTTCTTTTATTTTACTACACTTTTAAGTTAAGGTTGAGAGCAGTTTTCTACAAAACTTTAATCTTAATACTTTATTTTTCTTTTGATAATTGTAAAAACTATACATAACAGATCTGCATAAACGTTACTTGAAGTTCTAGCTTGCTGAGTTGGTAGTAAATTATCGTAATGACTAGTATTTCATTACTATTTTAAAGAATTTTTAAAATGTGCTTTCAGGTGCAACAGATGAAGAACGAGGGACGACTAGGCCACGAGTCACGCAGTACCAGTCAAAGTGTCACTTCTCTTGATAAAGAGGATCGTGACAGCCACCCTACACAAGTAATTCAGATTAAACTTTTTATAATAAATATCAGTGCACTCTTTATTTGTGCTGTAGAAAAGCAGAGTAGATTTTTATTACAGGTGTCTGTAGCTTTTAAATAATTTTGAAGAGTAATTCTGTCATTTGTTTATCAATTTCTATAAAAGTATATCATATTTCATTATTAATCATTTTATTGGACATGTAGAATTCCTCCAGGTACTACCCTTCATATTTCTGTTCTTGTTCTGTAGACTACTGAATTACTTAAAATTTTCCCAACTATTTTCTTTAATAATCATTTATGTGAAAGACTCCTAGTATTAATATTACAGAAAATTTAGTTTTTCTAAATTTATATGTATATACACACACACACACTCTGGATGATTGATGATGATGATTTATAAAGATTAGGCTACCCTAAAGGCAGCACGGGCATGACTAGCTCATAAGTGGAGGCTCTTTCGAGCCATTACCAGTACCGATCGGCCGAGAGCCGGTCGGCCGAGCGGACAGCACGCTGGACTTGTGATCCTGTGGTCCTGGGTTCGATCCCAGGCGCCGGCGAGAAACAATGGGCAGAGTTTCTTTCACCCTATGCCCCTGTTACCTAGCAGTAAAATAGGTACCTGGGTGTTAGTCAGCTGTCACGGGCTGCTTCCTGGGGGGTGGAGGCCTGGTCGAGTACCGGGCCGCAGGGACACTAAAAAAAAAAAAAAAAAGACCCGAAATCATCTCAAGATAACCTAACCGATAACTGATACTAGAGCTCTGTGGATAAATGGCTGTAACAGTTATGGAGCTGGTGGGTTAGTGTAGACCTCTAGGTCTTCTGGTTTTTCTTTGGCCGAGCCATACTGTCGTTCGAGTTTGGTGAGGTGGCCTCCATGAGGTCGTCTTGTACCGAGTTGAGGTTGTAATTGTGCTGCGGCGGTGGAGTTCCTACTAAGATTTCCTCGTCTGAGGAGTCCGTAACATCCGTAGTTGGTGGTTTTGTCTTTCGTCTAGTAGCCTGAGGTAGGCTCAGGTGTCATGAATTAGTGGTAGAAACTATTTCAGGAGCGTTGGTGGTGGTGTTAGTATTTGTAGAGAGAACATCTGGTAACGCCTCTGCTGAGATGATGATTGTGGGAATGTTGGGAGCTGGAGAGAGAGATATACCTGTTTGTTCCACCCAGGTCTTGGGTGGTTCTGGAGTCTGTTTTGAGATCAACCTTGTGATTGTCCTGGGGATAGTCTCCGGAATGGTAGAGGAGGCAGTGAGACTTGCATCCAAGGCAATGATGGGGTCCAGATCGTTGGCTAGGTACAGCGCGTTGAGTTCCTTGATGAATCGTTGCTTGTCTGGTCCGGCAAGCCTCTCCGCTAGTCGATTAAGACCAGGAATAATGCCTGCATGTGATGCAAGAGACTGTGAGGGTGCTGATTGGTCCTTAGGTTCCCAGTGTGGAGGCTAGGTGATCTGTTGCCACTGTTTGGTTGGACTGGTACAGTCGTAGTCTGCATCTGGCTTATAGAAGGGAGGCCCGGGAACTGGTCAGATCCAAGGTCTAAGGTCACTGCGACTTGCCTCTGGGTGGTTGGTGGTGTGGTGGTCTTTTCTTTAATCTTCTTCAGTTCCTCCTTCCTTTTTGTGCAGAGGTAGGAGATGGCAGCGTGCTGTTTCCTACAGTTCGCACATTTCATGATCGTGGCAGTACAATCCTTGTAGTTGAGAGTACCAGAGCATGAGCTGCACTTAGCCGTTTGTTCTTGGCACTTGTTTCAAAAGTGCTCATAGCTGAAGCACTTGTAGCACTGTCTCACGTTGTAGACCTTCTCTATGACTATCTGGTTTGGGAAGGAGGCAATTCCAAAGCACTTGAAACTGTTCTTCACTACTTCCTGGGCCTGCTCTGCTGTTTTCAAGGTAATCTTCATCGTGGGTCAAGTGGCATCATTAGTCTTGATGAGTAGAGCTGTCATCCCTTTCAGAGTAGGGTTTTCTTTGTTCACTTGCTGCACTGTGGTGTCAGGTACCTCTCCCACTAACCAGCGGTTCAGCCTGTTCACAAATATCGTTTTCCAGCAGTGATTTGTCTGGGAGGAATTGGTGAGAGGTTCGCCTCCAGTAGTGGGACCCGGTATTCCGAATCCAGGATCTTCTGTAGGTCTGCTTTTGTTGCCACGATTACCGTGGGCTCGTTACCATACATATTGACGTCAACTAGTCTCGCTGATGTTGCCTTGTCAATGGCTGCAGCAATTTCGCACTCAGGGCACTTGTAGACTCCTCGGAGTCGCACTTTCACTCTGTATGTCATGTTCTCTGGCAATGGTTTGTATTGTCAGGAGAACCTGGAGTGTAGAGTGGTTTGCTGGCAGCTGTGTGGGAACACAGCTTGCCATCAGGAGAGGTGTGTGCGCACAGGAGAGAACATCAGATTTATAATGCTGGGAAGTCAGGTACATACAGTTAGGTGAGGAGTAAGTATTAAAGGTAAGAGGCATGGGTCAATAACATCTACATAAAAATATTAGTCAGGTGTAGTGGGCATGTCATTTTGAGCATTGACATCATTGTTGGAATCTCTGCATTCAGATCTCACTCTCATGGTGAATAGAGTAAATAGTTTCATTATTTGGGTATTTATGGTGGGTTCAACTTTTATGTGAAGGGCTGCAAAAATTTGTTTTCTTGCATCTTTCTTTATTTCTAATATGTAAGTGTTGTTATTCAGCACTTCTCTTGTTAGGGTTATGTCATATGCTTTTCTCGCGTCATTTTTATGGGCACCTGATTGAAGATGACTAAGTCAAATGCCTCATGAGCTTGGTTGTCGTCATATCTATGTACAGTACTTAGATTGAAGGTTTCATCCTTCGTGGGGGCAGGTGTACGTATATACCATGTAAGATTGCTGTAAAGGGTTCTCAGTTGACTTCAGAGTGTTTTTAATGAGATGGTGGTCTTTGTTTTACAGAATATGATATCTGTTTTGGTTAGGGGTTGTGTTTTTTACTCCTTTACAGATTATTTCTTTTATTATTCTTTCCTCTTTTTTATATTCACTGTGCATTGGTAGATTCGTAATATAATTTTATTGGAGCTGGTTTCTGTTCACCAAGGTTTCTGTTCATCAAGAGCTGAAACCACAATGCCTCCAATAAAATTATATTACAAATCTACTATGCACAGTGAATATTAGAAAGAGGAAAGAATAATGAAACCAATAATCTGTTAAGGAGTAAAAAGCACAACCCCTAACCAAAACATAGACATCATCATATATTGTAAAACAAAGACCGTTGAGGGAGAGGGGAAGGCAATTTTTTCAATTGCATTCTTATTCTTTTCTGGCTAAGATTGAGTCTTCTGGCTCTGTTGGCTTCTGGAGGAGTCCATTGGTTATTAAGTTGTGGTTTGTTCAGATGGAGATGCATCGTTCGCTATGTCTGGTTTCAGCTGAACATCACTACCTGGATACCACTCGACTGATTTGGGGGACGTGTTGTTAGTTGGCCTTCTTTCCTTGATTTCCTGTTCCTAGGCTAAGTTATTTCAGGTTATTTGCAGTACCATTAAGTCAAGCAAGCCTGTGGTTTATTATAAGACCTATGATGTTCAAAAGTTTGCTGCTGGACCACAATCTTTTCTAACATGTCTTGGATTGATATCCTGGATTGGGGGTTTTGGAGGTTCTGGCAGCTCATTACCTGGTTAGTGTTCCTGGTCCCTGATAGGCTTGCATTGCATCGATTGTACAAAAAAGATAATAATGATTAAAATCAACATACGATGATAATTGCATTACCCCCTGGGATCAACGTACGACTATAACTACGCTTTAAGAGTTAGGAACTTCACTACACATCCTAGTAAACCCTACTTGTAGTTTAGGAAAAAAAAAATGCGTGTATGAGCGATGATGGTTCATCTTCACATGAAAATATTAACAATTACATTAAAAAGCAAAGGTTGCTGGCAATTGTTGAATCTCCATCCCTAAATACAGCAGGAAGGTGTGTCCCCATTACATGATGAAGCACCAGTTGAAGCCTCCATTAAGCTGTCAAGTTCTACTCAGTCACCATCACCAATGCCTTCCCTACCGTCACTTTCCCAGCCTCAACCATCCCAACCTTCACCACCACAGCCAGTATCCAGACCTGAGTCCTGTGATAGGGTTATCACACCTGAGCCCAAACGGGACTTTAGCTCTAACCTAAGAAGCAACACCCCAGAAACCGACGACGATGTGGGTCGTGACATTCCTCTTCCCCCACACCTCTCTGCTCCTGTTGTATCCGACACACCTAAGGATAAATCTGCACCAGAAATTGTACGCATTTGTTTTCTTTTGGAATGTTCCTTAGTAGTAATTCTAAATTTTTAGTGTTGCAATTTTCTTACCAAAGTACTGTAGATAATACATAACTCATTTAATTTAGATTTTTATGGTATTTACTTTCCATATCATTTCTTTCTTTGTAGAAACAGTAATGAAGTTTATATGCACTAGTAGTCACTTCTCAAAAGTGCATGCATTGGAGGTCACCTGCTTGTCTGCATGACATTAAATAAATTTATAATTTAGTTTATAAGAACAAAGCTTTAAACTTGTAACTTGATTTTTTTTTTTCCGGTCACATGTCTGAAGATAAATGTTTTACAGTAAATGAATAATATTTTTCTAATCATAAATATATTTCTACTTAGGTGTTTTTAAATTTTAATAAATGTTGAGTATGCTAATGATTGTGTTTACTTATAGGTAATGGATGTTGTTCGAGTAGCAGAACAGCTCACATCTCGTCCATCTTCCCAGAACTCTGCTATAGTCCCTTCTTCACCGCTTGCACGAAAAACCTCATCAGATACTAAAACTACCACAGTTGTTTTGGGAAAGCATACCTTAGCTCCGCAAACAAGTACAGTGAGTATAAATGATTTGTGACATTTTCTTCATATATTGTTAGTACATTAGTTGTTGAAAACCAAGGAGGCTGTTGTTTATGCTAAATAATTGTTATAATTTTAAACATGTATATATTGCATTTTTAATAACTTCCTCTTATTAAGCAAATTATTTAACCAGTGCTAAGTCTGGTAAGTAACTGAGCTAATGAGAACCTTCATACAGAAATTCAAATAGTTTGCTTTTGTGCAAATTAGCATAAACTCATTAGGTCTACTGATACTCAATGCTTTCCATACTGATAGGTCAAGGGTACTCTTGAACTACCTGTCAACTGGATACTTCAGAGAATAGAAAAGTGCACATAACCTTAAAAGGTCAGGGTTTGAAACTGTGTATTCTTGCCTTTGTCTCTGGGGGATATGTGATCTAGCTTTTGCACCCCAACTCCTGGCTTTGAGAGCGGGGTGTAATTATACACTTCCCATTTATCTAATGTCGAGTCATATCTACTTTTAATATTACAAAGGATTAACTCTTGGTCCTGCCTCTTCACTTTTAGGCATCTGGTACAATACTATTCAGAATTTCCTTTAACTCGTATCTACATTTAATGCTATAGAATATTATTAGCCTTCACTGCCTTTTCCGTCATTTCTCTCCATGTTTATTTCTCTTGCAGTGAGGGAGTAATAGTACTTTCTTAAATACCTGTTTGCTAATTTCTGTTTCCACCTATGTTCTTTCATTCTGTGTATGTGAAATGATCTATTTTTGACAGTTCTGTCTATCTCTTAGAATCTTCTGTGCCATGATCTTTTGCTCAATAGATTTTCACAACTTGTGAAGTATGCATTTTTCTGAAAACCGTGCATGATTATAAAATTTAATCCATCATGCATCATCTTTCATCAAAGCATAACAATAGCATTTGGATATGTGCCAACTAGCGTCGAGGATGTTGGTATTACATCACACACAAAAACAAAGTGTGTTAAATAACACTGACCTTTGTATTTTGTGTTCACAACTGAATGTTGAGTTACATGTTATGAAGAAACTGTGTTGTTGTTAAAGACATGTAATCTCTCTTGAATTATGCCATAATCAGTATTTTATCACTGTCATGTACAATACAGTATATACCGGTAAATTCAAATGTCTATTGTTTATTTTTATAGGCTGTTTTTGTTTAATCCAACTTTAACTTTTGAAACATTTTGTTAAAACAGAATTTCAATAAAGGTTTCTTATTTATTCTTAAATATCATTTGGATTCTTAGTATCTTGGGCACACTTAATATATTCCCTTCGTGTATTAGTGTGTTATTCTTGAGACAATGAAAGATTGGAAGCTGAGTTAGCTCTCACAATCTTTGGAGTTAATTATACTTCCAGAAAAGAAGTTAAATCTTTGCTGGAAATTATTTAAATAATTTAAATAATTAAAAGTAATTTATTGATAAATTTAAGCATATAATTACATTTCTTGTTCTGAGAGTCGGCTGCTATTTAATAAATATTACGGTACAATTTAATAACATAGCTCCTTGGTTTTCTCTTCTTTGTATTTTGTATAGCTATAATATTGTGGAGTTTGTGGAATGTCCCTAACATCCCAATTTTCTCACTAAATTCAAGGTAGTTGCCCTTAAAATACAAAGTCCTGTACTGCATATTATTGTACAATAGCTGTCATGATAAAGTTTAATTTACCACTGGGGGAATTGAAAGGGCACCTACTGTTCTGAATAACGATGATGCATGAGTGTTATCCCCTTTACTTTGGTAGGTGTTATTTGCTAATCCTACTATTGTATGTGTTAACCTTTATATGTGCTCTGTAAATATGTATCTGGCCCCTGTAATAATGCTGAGCCTACTTCTTTATAATCAAGATTCCATTCGCTTGTTACCCCCTAATATTTAATTACCCAAAAATTATTTCTTTTAATAATTTGTGTTTGTAATAACATGTATGTAAATATTACATTTGCATTAAAATACCGTAGGATTATATATATCTGCTTAGTAATTCCTAGTTGTTTGCATTCTTTGTACAGAACCTATTAGATGGAATTAAAATTAGAATATTGCCACATGTTATCTACGGTTTTTGAGAGACTAGGTGGTTTAAGCTTTACTCAGATGGGATTGGGTACTCTTACACAAACTGAAAGTATGTGCCTGAAAGTTATATAAAGTTCAGCAGCAAATCCATAAAATATATAAAACATTTCGTTCCCTTTGACATGTGAAATTACAAACAATGTGCTTCAGATTTGGAAACAGTGTAGTGTAATAGTGTTGATCTATATTTTTAATTTTCAGTTGGGCTCTGAAATTTTAAATTGTGTAACTTTTTTTTGTAAATGTTACACTCATTTGCTGCCAAATGTAAGCTTAAATTTACCAATTACTCCAGGATTGGTCTTACATAAGTGGTATACAAGGTAAATGATTACTTGCACAAGTTTCTAAAGGCAGTTCTAATGTTAGCCAGCTTTGATTACACCGCTGATGATGATCTTTTGATGTAGGCTTCAGTACACAGGTTCGGTGTGATATCAACTCTACTACATGAATGCGGTCATTCTCATTGTATAAAATTCCGTCGTAATTACATGTGTATACCAGTGATGTTCATATGGTTTTTACAACTCCATATGGTTGTAATAAAGTAGACCAAGTAAACCAATCATCAATTGAAACATTATTGTGCATTGTGTGTTTTATCGAAATATTCAGCACACATGCATGTGTAAATAAAGAGAATTGGGTAATAACCAATGAAACATCCGAGCTGAACACAGGAGTCGTGTCTAGCATACCTCATTGTCAGCAAAGTCTGCATCGTGTGTGTTGACCATGTGTGTGTGTGTAGGCAGAGGATGGGATTAAGTTGGTTTTGTTTTGTTTACCTGTTTTATCATAAATGACATCTACTAGCAACCTCAATTCCCTTACAGTGTGTCTTTGGTTTATTTATATATTAATACTATCTTTATTAAATAGAACTTGCAGGGTGCATTACACTTTGTTTCACACATACAGTACTGGAATGCGTACTGTATGTTTAGTACTATATTATAATTATGTACTGTAAATATATCATTAAACTATATATTTTGATGGTCTTTATTATACAGTATGTATTTTTTATTTGTTCTTAAAAGTTACACTTTTCTTATTTGGTTATGCAAATTTAATGTTTGGCCAGATTTTACTTTGTATATGTGTCCTTATTTTTTGTTTGAATTAGGTATTCATTGATTCTGGCAAAACATATTACTCGGGTTTTACTGTTAATTGTAAAGAAACTAAGTAGAATAGTTTTGTTTTAATTTATTACAAGGTGGAGATATCACATTTATAGTGCTGGTCAAAACATTCTTTTCATATACGTTAAACTCAGTTATTTGGTTATTCTAATATTCAACATATAGAGTGGCAACCATTACTTAAAGCGAATGATGGCCATAACACAGCTACATCTAATCTAATGTGTTAAATACTCGCTGCCAATTTACTTCTCGAAACCTAGCTTTGTATACAAGAAACCTCTGTAGCCATTTTCATAGAATATATGGAGACAAAAGGCATATAGTGAAGACCGTTCATCTAATGTTGGATAATATATTTGATTCCGTAGCAACATTAAGCTTCTTTGTGTAAACTAGCTGAAAAGCCCTTGCTGGACATGGATCATGTTTGAGTGGGTTAATGAATACAGTATATATATATAACTAATATTTGGGAACTGGTGTACTTCATTTTGGTAAAATAAAAAACAAAATATGCCCAGTTTTTATATGTCGGTAATGCATACTATATTCATCTTCGATTTTGTTTCATAAGACTGTTGCTAAGGAAAATATAATTTTCATATCTATATAAATGTAACTGGCTGGTTGTCCTTATTATATTCAAAATATAATAACTGAAGGCTAAAGTTTAACATTAGCTAGATTTGTTCATGTTTTGATATTGTATATTTATGGTTGAAAAGTAAAATGTAAGATTTCCTTTACATTTGCTGCTAGTTTTACTGTTTTTATTAACAGTAAAACTAGCAGCAAATAAATAAATACGTTATAAATACGAAGCATAGTGTTAACCTGATTCAGTATGGTTTATCATCAGCTTTATAGCTAGTAACAGCAGCAGCCCATTATGTTTCTAGTACAGTCTCTGAATGTTTACATATGCAACATTCCCATTTTGTAATTGGTTTTGTTTATTTTTATTTTTTAGCATGATATGGGGTTAATTGTGGACACAAAGATGTGTTTTGCAGATCATTGCTTTATATACTTATTATTTAACATGTACTGTTGATTAGGTGATGTGTATATTGCTTTCTTACCTAGCAGCATTTAGCTGTTTCACCCATTTAGTACAAGATTATTCCTTCAACTGTATATAAAGAAACTGGACATATCATTGATGCATGAGATTGTTTATCCAATGACTAAATCCCAAAACCTACACACCAAATTGCATTTGCAATAAGTTTTGAGATGTCATCAATATTGCATCACACATACATGGGCAGGTGCACAGTGCACAAATACTTTGTAGGTCCAGAAAAAAAAATACTTCGGGCAGTGAGATGTGTAGAAAGGCTTCCTCAGATAGTACAAGAGGATTGAGTATATAGTCCAGAAATACGTAGGTTACACAGACATTTTGATTATGGAAAGGGTAGATGAGATAAGCAAGATTAACCCATAATTTAAGACAATGCAGATAAACCAAATACAGGGGAGGTAGGTATGAAGATTGTACTAGTAGCAGAGTATGGAAGCAAACGATAGGTACTCGAGAGGATCAGGAACACGTTTACTAGCGTTAGTGAGAGAAATGGAGAGCATGTTTGAACATAGCATAGTAACAATGCTGGCACTCAGCCTAGCCTACTAGGCAGCTGTTTAAGAAAGACAATATTAAAGAAGAAAGCTATCAGCCTCAAGAAAGGAAGGAAAATGTAATAAGAAATTAAGAAATCTGCAAGTGTG